TTAACTCCACGCCTCTTGCCAAGACCCTCACATTTACTTCTCTTACAACCCCATCTATAAATATATTAAACAACCACGGTGACATCACACATCCTTGTCTAAGGCCTACTTTTACTGGGAAAAAATTTCCCTCTTTCCTACATACTCTAACTTGAGCCTCACTATCCTCGTAAAAACTCTTCACTGCTTTCAGTAACTTACCTCCTACACCATACACTTGCAACATCTGCCACATTGCCCCCCTATCCACCCTGTCATACGCCTTTTCCAAATCCATAAATGCCACAAAGACCTCTTTAGCCTTATCTAAATACTGTTCACTTATATGTTTCACTGTAAACACCTGGTCCACACACCCCCTACCTTTCCTAAAGCCTCCTTGTTCATCTGCTATCCTATTCTCCGTCTTACTCTTAATTCTTTCAATTATAACTCTACCATACACTTTACCAGGTATACTCAACAGACTTATCCCCCTATAATTTTTGCACTCTCTTTTATCCCCTTTGCCTTTATACAAAGGAACTATGCATGCTCTCTGCCAATCCCTAGGTACCTTACCCTCTTCCATACATTTATTAAATAATTGCACCAACCACTCCAAAACTATATCCCCACCTGCTTTTAACATTTCTATCTTTATCCCATCAATCCCGGCTGCCTTACCCCCTTTCATTTTACCTACTGCCTCACGAACTTCCCCCACACTCACAACTGGCTCTTCCTCACTCCTACAAGATGTTATTCCTCCTTGCCCTATACACGAAATCACAGCTTCCCTATCTTCATCAACATTTAACAATTCCTCAAAATATTCCCTCCATCTTCCCGATGCCCTCTGAATGTCACATACAAGGCTATAAATTATTCCACACTGACAGGGTCAACAGGAAAGGTGGTGGAGTAGCGATGTATGTCAGAGACAATTTAAATTGTTGTGTTAGACAAGATATTAAATTAGAAGCGTCAGCCACTGAATCTGTTTGGTTACAGCTTCTCGAGGGCAGAGAAAAACTAATTTTGGGTGTGATTTACAGGGCCCCAAATCTTGATAGGGAGTGCAGTAAACTTCTATGGGACGAAATTCGTAAGGCATCTACATACGAAAATGTTGTGCTAATGGGAGATTTCAACTATAGACAGATTGACTGGAGCAATTTGACAGGAAATTTAGAGTCGGGTGACTTTCTTGATACGATCCAGGATTGTTTTTTAAAACAGTTTGTGACAGAGCCAACTAGGGGAAATAACCTCCTTGACTTGGTTCTTGCCAGTAGGGAAACACTAATTAATAATCTTGAGGTTAATGATGAGCTTGGGGAGAGTGATCACAAATCACTCAGTTTTAACATATCATGGAATTCCCCTAATAATGGCAATCAAGTCTCCGTCCCTGACTTTCGCTTGGCTGATTTCATAGGACTGAAAAATTACTTAGGTGGGCTGAACTGGAATGACCTGACTAGGGGTCAGGTAGGTGGTGATGGTTGCCGATATGATGCTTTCCAGGGCATAGTTCTAGCTGCTCAGTCAAATTATGTTCCAAATAGGGAAATCAGATCAAACAAAAATGATCCTAAATGGATGAACAATAGATTAAAATATCTGATTGGTCAAAAGAGAGGCATATATAGGCAAATCAAAAGAGGAGAGGGGCAATTAAGAAATCGATATATTCAGTTAAAGAGAGAAATAAAAAAGGGAATTAGAAAAGCAAAAAGAGATTATGAGGTTAAAGTTGCAAGAGAATCGAAGACTAACCCAAAAGGATTCTTTCAGGTATACAGAAGTAAGATCAGGGACAAGATAGGCCCACTCAAAAGTTCCTCGGGTCAGCTCACTGACAGTGATAAGGAAATGTGTAGAATTTTTAACACATACTTCCTCTCAGTTTTTACACAGGAGGATACCAGCGATATTCCAGTAATGATAAATTATGTAGAACAGGACGATAATAAACTGTGCACGATTAGGGTCACAAGTGACATGGTCCTTAGGCAAATAGATAAATTAAAACCTAACAAATCCCCAGGCCCTGATGAACTGTATGCAAGGGTTCTAAAGGAATGTAAAGAGGAGCTTAGCACACCTTTGGCTAATCTTTTCAACATATCACTACAAACTGGCATGGTGCCAGATAAGTGGAAAATGGCAAATGTGATACCTATTTTCAAAACAGGTGACAGGTCCTTAGCTTCGAACTATAGACCAATAAGCCTAACCTCCATAGTGGGAAAATTTATGGAATCAATAATTGCCGAGGCAGTTCGTAGCCACCTTGAAAAGCATAAATTAATCAACGAATCTCAGCATGGTTTTACAAAGGGGCGTTCCTGCCTTACGAATTTATTAACTTTTTTCACTAAGGTATTTGAGGAGGTAGATCATGGTAATGAATATGATATTGTGTATATGGACTTCAGTAAGGCTTTTGACAGGGTCCCACATCAGAGACTATTGAGGAAAATTAAAGCACATGGAATAGGAGGAGAAATTTTTTCCTGGATAGAGGCATGGTTGACAAATAGGCAGCAGAGAGTTTGCATAAATGGGGAGAAATCAGAGTGGGGAAGCGTCACGAGCGGTGTTCCACAGGGTCAGTGTTGGGCCCCCTGCTGTTCACAATCTACATAAACGACATAGATGAGGGCATAAAGAGCGACATCGGCAAGTTTGCCGATGACACCAAAATAGGCCGTCGAATTCATTCTGACGAGGACATTCGAGCACTCCAGGAAGATTTGAATAGACTGATGCAGTGGTCGGAGAAGTGGCAGATGCAGTTTAATATAGACAAATGCAAAGTTCTAAATGTTGGACAGGACAATAACCATGCCACATATAAACTAAATAATGTAGATCTTAATATTACGGATTGCGAAAAAGATTTAGGAGTTCTGGTTAGCAGTAATCTGAAACCAAGACAACAGTGCATAAGTGTTCGCAATAAAGCTAATAGAATCCTTGGCTTCATATCAAGAAGCATAAATAATAGGAGTCCTCAGGTTGTTCTTCAACTCTATACATCCTTGGTTAGGCCTCATTTAGATTATGCTGCACAGTTTTGGTCACCGTATTACAGAATGGATATAAATTCTCTGGAAAATGTACAAAGGAGGATGACAAAGATGATCCCATGTATCAGAAACCTTCCCTATGAGGATAGACTAAGGGCCCTGAAACTGCACTCTCTAGAAAGACGTAGAATCAGGGGGGATATGATTGAGGTTTATAAGTGGAAGACAGGAATAAATAAAGGGGATGTAAATAGTGTGCTGAAAATATCTAGCCTAGACAGGACTCGCAGCAATGGTTTTAAGTTGGAAAAATTCAGATTCAGGAGGGATATAGGAAAGTACTGGTTTGGTAATAGAGTTGTGGATGAGTGGAACAAACTCCCAAGTACCGTTATAGAGGCCAGAACGTTGTGTAGCTTTAAAAATAGGTTGGATAAATACATGAGTAGATGTGGGTGGGTGTGAGTTAGACCTGATAGCTTGTGCTAACAGGTCGGTTGCCGTGTTCCTCCCTTAACTCAATGTGACCTGACCTGACTAGGTTGGGTGCATTGGCTTAAGCCGGTAGGGACTTGGACCTGCCTCGCATGGGCCAGTAGGCCTTCTGCAGTGTTCCTTCGTTCTTATGTTCTTATGTTCTAATACCTCTAACTCTCCATTTAATAACTCTCCTCTCCTATTTTTAACTGACAAATCCATTTGTTCTCTAGGCTTTCTTAACTTGTTAATCTCACTCCAAAACTTTTTCTTATTTTCAACAAAATTTGTTGATAACATCTCACCCACTCTCTCATTTGCTCTCTTTTTACATTGTTTCACCACTCTCTTAACCTCTCTCTTTTTCTCCATATACTCTTCCCTCCTTGCATCACTTCTACTTTGTAAAAACTTCTCATATGCTAACTTTTTCTCCCTTACTACTCTCTTTACATCATCATTCCACCAATCGCTCCTCTTCCCTCCTGCACCCACTTTCCTGTAACCACAAACTTCTGCTGAACACTCTAACACTACATTTTTAAACCTACCCCATACCTCTTCGACCCCATTGCCTATGCTCTCAATAGCCCATCTATCCTCCAATAGCTGTTTATATCTTACCCCTAACTGCCTCCTCTTTTAGTTTATAAACCTTCACCTCTCTCTTCCCTGATGCTTCTATTCTCCTTGTATCCCATCTACCTTTTACTCTCAGTGTAGCTACAACTAGAAAGTGATCTGATATATCTGTGGCCCCTCTATAAACATGTACATCCTGAAGTCTACTCAACAGTCTTTTATCTATCAATACATAATCCAACAAACTACTGTCATTTCGCCCTACACCATAAAATTTAGTGGTGAAATTGTGTCAGTTAATCGTTTTGCTACGGGAAATTTCCCTTCTGGCTTTGTGCAAGTGATTTCCAAGAACTGTAACAGTCCTGAGCAATTGTTTAATGCTGAAGAGACAGGGCTATGATTGAATAATATGCCATCAAGAACATATGTTAGCAATCAAGAAAAATGTGCTAACAACTTAGCTTCCACAAAAACCATCGCCATCCAGCTCAGCAATAAAGTGCTACATCAACCCTTGTCATACATACTTCCAAGTCAACAAACAACCTCAACTATGCTGTAAGGCAAGATAAAAATTCATTATTTTTGGTGTATTAGTAAGCTTTAATATTTTTTTTGGCATTCTGGAGATCACTGGAATATAACCCTATTTTTCCCATGTTTTTCAGATAAGTTAGCTCAAATTTAGGTTATAAACTAATTTTTAGGAGTGTAACACTAGCTCTAATTGGTATTCTCCTGTTCTACTTTTGTTTTAATATGAAATTTCAAGATATTTTTACTGAGCTTGATAAATTAATCATTGCATATAGGGTACTATAAAAGAAGCAGAATTTGAGTAAAGTTTCTAAGAAAGCTCTAAAAAAGTAAATATAATAAATGAATGCATTTTTGTAAAAAATTATCCAAAGAATTACATACCTGTAAGAACATTCCATAATTTATAATAATTTGTGGAGTAGCAATTCTCAAGTCAATGATTCTATCATATACAGCTTTACAAGACTTGAAAGTACCCAGACACTCCTCCAAGTCAGCATACATTGACCACAGCTTAAGGGACTTGTAAACCCGCCTCTGCACAGGCTCTGACTCATCATTATAAGCAACTTTGTGAGGCGGCGGTGCTGTTGCACGTTTCATAAGCTTTAAAGCCTCTTCTTCATTGCTGAAATGTAGATATAAATTCCAGGTTTAATGAAGCAATGATTACTTAAGACAGAAAAATGTAATGCCAAAAGGAACAAAAGATATGAGAAATGGTATTATAATAATTAAGTGAAAGAAAAGTACTGTTTAAAACTAATTTTGGTGAAATTGAAAAAAAAAAAAAAAAAAAAAAAATTATCAAACATATAAGAAAATTTCAGTGAATGTCAGACATGCTTATAAAGTAAATTATAACCAAAGCATGTAAACAAACACACAATTACACATCAGACAACCCCCCCCCCAAAAAAAAAAAAATCTTATTTGGGTATATTAGAGAATAATTATGTTAAAAATAACAACTGCTCTTCCTTAACCAAATGTTGTATGAGGCCCTCATTGCCAAGGTGACCGATTTTTGCCAATAGGTATGAGCCCTCCACACATGTACCAATGATCATATACAAATTATCAATGCATGTGCAAAATTAATTAAATAAAAATTTGATATTCATAACCAAAATCCAAAACTAGATACATCTACATTTCACGAATTCTTCCCAAAATAATGTGAACTCACCACATGTGAACTTGTAATGATGACATTACAATGTTCCAAAGTTCTGCTGATGAGGATGATAGCTAACTAATGGTGTTTTTCTCTACTGCCTGTCCTCATTCCACTTACCAAGTTGAGTTACCATCCTTGCAATACACTGTACTAGTAATATGAATAACTTAAACTATCTTAGCATTACCTTGACCAATGGATGCTACAATGACTCTGACCTCCTCCTCAACACTTTGAACTACTGGATCATTGATACAGTATATAAACCTCTGACCACTGAGGCATATGAATCACTACAAGAAAGCACACGAAACAATTCCACCTTTCAGCCATCTTCATTGGACACTGCCTCTTAGGAGTAGACGTTTAACTCTCCTTCTATTCTTATATGCACGAGGCATGATAGAGTAATATAAAAGGATAGCCGACATATGGTAGTCACTATACAAGGAGAGGAGATGTACGGTAGTCATTATCCAAGGACAGAGGATGTAAGGTAGTCACTATCCAAGGATAGCAAATGTAAGGTGGTCACATGTTCCTGCTTAACAGATGAATGCATTTGCTATGGACAAAAGATTAAAACAATGTGGGGTAGTGCAGAACACTGCAAGTTGTTTATTTCAACTCTCTGTTCACACTCCTGATGATAATCTACAAGCGAAAAGGCAAAACAAATTTTTTTGGTTATACTGTAATCCATCCTCCTCTTCAGGTCAGAATATTACAATATACTGTATCTTACGTATTTTCTCCTAACCTACTTTATGACCACACACCAATCTTCAATCTTATCAGTCATCCTCCATTTCTAATATACATTTTTGTTTTTAACATGTTGGCCGTTTCCCATAGAGGTAGGGTGGCCCAAAAAGAAAGAAAAACCCCCAAAAAAGAAAAAACTTTCATCATCATTCAACACTTTCACCATCACTCATACATAATCACTGTCTCTGCAGAGGCGCTCAGATACGACAGTTTAGATGTCCCTCCAAACTGCCAATATCCCAAACCCCTCCTTTAAAGTGCAGGGATTGTACTTTCCCATTTTCTAACATTTACTGCTTAAAAATACTGCCAACTGGCCAGGCAGCTTACTCACTGGCCTGGAGTTTTAGAACTCACTTGCTATGGGTTGAAACCCATTCCATGTTTTTTTGTGATAGTCATATTATGTATGAAGAAAACTCATTAATAAATAATTACTGAATATAAAAAGATACAGTTAAAGAAAAGCACTCACTCATGTCTGATTTCCATCTCTGCCCACTCACACCAAACACTGGCTAGATCATCCACCTTCACATATGCAACTTCGGTAGCACGCTGGAATATGATTCGTGCATCTATAATTTGGTTGTTTTCCTCATAGAACCTGGCAAAGTTAACCCAAAGTGAAAACAGCTTTCCTGTAGCCTGTTTCGGGTCAATTGTTTTTACAGCTTCCATGTACGTAGCAACAATCTGTGAAAGGGAAATAAAAACATATAATTTTTCTTTGTAAAAATATGGAACAAGATTAACAAAATAAAGAGTACTGTATTACCATTCACACTTTAAAAGAAAATACAGTGGGACATTGGTACTCGAATAATTTGGTATTCGAACGCTTTGTCTGGTAAAAAAAAAATTGCTCGGTAGTTGACCGTTTGCTTGGCACTCGACCAAACACACGTTCTGCCAGAACTTCGCTGTAAATTATTTTGTTTCATCACATTTTTTGGTGTTTTTTTTATTATTTGTATAAATAAGTCACCATGGGGCTTAAGAAGATTAGTGATAACAGCCAACAAAAAAGAAAATTGGTTGGGAAAATTCTTTTAGTACTCGAACAGACTGGCACTCAAACATCCTCCTGGAACAAATTAAGTTCGAGTGCCAAGGTTCCACTGTAAATGTTTAAGAGCTACTACAGGGAAATAAAGGGTGTCCCTTTGTCTCCATTATGGTTCATTACCTTGCTACACTTGTACATTAGAAGCTTTAATTAATGCTGTTTTTTCTCTGCCATACAGTCCTTTTCGTGAACATGGCACCAACTTTTTCTTCCACAAACGTGGTTTTTCACTGATGTAAATCTTAGTAATTGTTCTGAGTTATTACAATATTTAAATAACTGTGCATTGAAAATCTGGCATTTTCATAATACAAAAAAAAAAAAAAAATATATATATCCTCTACAAAGTAGTTAAGAGTTTTTACAAGGATAATGAGGCTATGGTTAGCGTATGTAGGGGAGAGGAAGAGTATTTTCCAGTAAAAGTAGGCCTTAGACAAAAATGCTTGATGTTACCTTGGTTGTTAAATATATTTATAGATGGAGTTGTAAGAGAAGTGAATACAGGGGTGTTGAGAAGAGGTGCATGATTGGAAGATTAAAGAAACTAACACAAAGTGTGAGTTGTCACAGTTGTTTTTTGCTGCTGACACTGTGCTTTTGGGAGATTCTGAAGAGAAGTTGCAAAGGATGGTAGAAAAATATGGGAGGGTATGTAAAAGAAGGAAACTAAAAGTAAATACTGTATAGGAAAGAGCAAGGTGATGAAGGTAACAAAAAGATTTAGGTAATGAAAAATTGGATATCAGATTGGAGGGAGGGAGAATGGAGGAAGTGAAAGTGTTCAGATATTTGGGAGTGAACTTGCCAGCAGATGGGTCTATGAAAGCAAGGTGAATCACAGAACTGACAAGAGGAAAATGAAGGCAAAAAGGGGAAATATATGAGTATAGTAGTCCCAACACTTATATAAGTTTGTAGCATGGGTTGTGAATGTTGCAGCAAGGAGGGGGCTGGAGGCAGTGGAGATGTCGTGTTTAAGCACAATGTGTGGTGTGACTATTATGTAGAGAATTCATAGCCTGGAGATTAGGAGGTATGGGGCTACTAAAAGTTTTATCCAGAGGGTAGGGCAGGGGTTGTCGAGGTGGTTTGGACATTTAGAGGAAGGTACAAAATAGGATGACTTGGAGGGAGTATAACTCTGTAGTGGAGGGAAGGCAGGGTAAAGGCCATCCTAGGAAAGGATAGAAGGGTAAAGGAGGTTTTGTATGTGAGGGGCTTAGACATCCAGCAAGCATATGTGAGTGTGTTAAATAGTGTGTGGGAGCAAGTGGTTTTTATCACTTCTTGTGCTACTGGACTTTGAGTAAGGTAACAATTATAAGGAAATTCAGGAAAACAGGTTAGCCAGACTTGAATCCTGGAGGTGGGAAGTACAGAAGTCAGTAATTTGGCCAGTTTTACACAAAATTAAAAAAAGTCCTATTTAAAAATAGTCCAAAATAAATAATGTAGATATTCAGGCAATAAAGCAACATTTCCTCTGTTAAATAATCATGTTTTCAAGCTTCTCCTATACAGTAGTACCTCGAGTTACAAACTTGATTCATTCCAGAAGGCTGTTCGAGTGCCGTTACCGAACGAATTTGTTCCCATAAGGAATAATATAAATTAGATTAGTCCATTTCAGACCTCCAAAATACACTTACAAAACCACTTACAAAAATACACTTACATAATTGTTCAAGTAGAGAGCTGTTCAAAACTCGAGATACCACTGTATTACACTTGCCCTCCATTTTGAATTCATCATTACAAAAAATTTATGATTCACCCTATTTCTCATTAAAAAATATAACCAAGAATGATTAGCCATGGTTTACAGCATCCAAATATTTGAATCAGATCTAGTAAAAGCCCATAAAACAGACTAGGGGGTGTAAAAGGGCCTTACCATTCTCCAGAAAATCATAAAAAATCAAATATTACCACCACTTTGAGTCTTATTTCAAGATACTGCCGGTCCTGAAACTAACTAAAATGATCTCTATTTCAGTAGCAGATTTTCCATTCTATCAAATGATACCAAGAAACAGCCAATAATCCCTAAAAGACATCCTAGAAAATGCCTCAAAATGGCTATGTATTTTAAACCAAACACAAGGCTGGAGTTTTGCTTTTCCCAACATACATCATGTGGGACACGATTTTTTTTTTTTATGTGTTGTACACTCACCACACAGATCCATTCTCACATGTATAGGCCAAAATTTACTGCTCACAACTTATCTGAGGGAGCTAAGCTCAAAATGTAGATCTATGTAAGCAATCCTGGCATCAATAATGTAGATATACGGACAATACAATAGCCGGACTTGAGTCCTGGAAATGGGAAGTATGTACAATGCCTGCACTTTAAAGGAGGGGTTTAGGATATTGGCAGTTTGGAGGGATATGTTGTGTATATATGTATATACTTCTAAACTGCTGTATTCTGAGCACCTCTGCAAAAACAGTGATTATGTGTGAGTGAGGTGAAAGTGTTGAATGATGATGAAAGTATTTTCTTTTTGGGTCACCCTGCCTCGGTGGGAGACGGCCGACTTGTTAAAAAAAAAAAAAAAGAAAAAAAAAGAAAAAAAAAAGAAGAAAAAAAAGGTTAATAAAACTCTATTAAAGTTTATTATATTTGTACATTATGCTCACATCCCTTACCATTCATCTCACTGTACACATATTCTTGCATTACTTATCAATCCTCTTCTTCACAGAATACACTTGTGCTATATTTACCATCAATCCTTCATTTCCCATAAGAAACAAGAATGATCAAGCACAATATGACTACTTGTGCCATTCATTTGCAACCCCAAGAAGCCTCTTTTCTTTTTTTTTTTTTTTTTTTTTTTACACAAGTTCATCTTTATAGGTTTAGTGATGTTACTCCTAACTCAAGTTTGTTTCAAAGCCTGGCCTTTGCTACTGGTATACTACTTATTTGTTCCTAGATGAATAGAAGCAGCAGGTGCAAAGAAACCTGGCCATATCTCTCTCCTTGCCTGAGTTGCAAGTCAAACATCTGAGCATTTTATTAACTGGTTAATCATATGGTAGTATACTTCAAATCTCCAATGTCAAATTAATAACTAAGGAAACAGTAAAAACTCACCATTTTTGGCTTTCCTTCATAAAGTGTTACCCTCTTCTGCCACTCCAAAACGTTATGTGGATTTTGCCGCAGCATAACTGAATTGAGTAGGAGTGGTCGCCGTTGCATAAGATCTTCATATCTTGCCAACCTGCAGTGAAAAAACTATGATGCTTACAAGGAAAGATTAAAAAACTGTACTGAATACCACCTTTATAATTTGGGCAATTTGGCAAATTGTAAAAAATACTACAGTTTATCTACATGCACTTAGCTATCTTACTTTGAGATTTGTTAAAATGATTACAATGTAATGATTTATATAAAAAAAATTCCAGAGCTGAAAGTTTTTTTCCACAAGCTCAAGCACTTTACTCTCCACAGCTCAAAGCACCTTCATTTCCACAAATCAAGAGCATTTCATTTTCACAATTAAAACATCTTGTCTACTACAACTTAGAGCATTCCCTTTTCCACAATTAAAAATACTTTTCTTTTCCACAGCTTACAGCTCCTAATTTTCTACATTTAGCTACAGCTAAATTATGACTAGGTAGATAGTGAATCCTAGGTAGTAGGTTGGTAGACAGCAACCACCCAGGGAGGTACTACCATCCTGCCAAGTGAGTGTAAAACAGAAGCCTGTAATTGTTTTACATGATGGTAGGATTGCTGGTGTCCTTTTTTCTGTCTCATAAACATGCAAGATTTCAGGTACATCTTGCTACTTCTACTTACACTTAGGTCACACTACACATACATGTACAAGCATATATATACACACACCCCTCTGGGTTTTCTTCTATTTTCTTTATAGTTCTTGTTCTTATTTATTTCCTCTTCTATCCATGGGGAAATGGAACAGAATTCTTCCTCTGTAAGCCGTGCGTGTCATAAGAGGCGACTAAAATGCTGGGAGCAAGGGGCTAGTAACCCCTTCTCCTGTATATATTACTAAATTTAAAAGGAGAAACTTTCGTTTGTCCTTTTGGGCCACCCCACCTCAGTGGGATACGGCTGGTGCGTTGAAAGAAGAAAGAAAGATAGTGAATTGATCACTGCAGTGACTGTGGCATCTGACTTATTAATTTCCTTCTAACAAACTGCTTCCACTCAGACCTAGTCATGTCACTTCTTAAAATGAATATTTTACATTAAATGCTTGGAAGATACACAGCAGCTCATCTTATAGGTTCTTGAGATACAGTATCCCAAATTGAGAAAAACCTTAAATCTGCAGAAAAATGGTTTTGCTAAAAAAAACTGGGACTGGTGCTGCTTGGTACCAGAGAAAAAATATACAAGGCTTAGTGAAGATCAGTCAATTTGTTGTCAAGATATACTCTGCAAATAATAGCCCTACATCAAGAATAATTAGTTCCCAAAGTAGCCACCAGGCACTTACACTGCCATTAGTAACAGGGTGCACCACATCATGCTAAAATGTAAGAAGTTTAATCCAAAAAGGTATTTTCACTACCAATGGCAGCAACTATTATTCTTTCTTTCAACACACTGGCCGTATTCCACCAAGGTGGGGTGGCCCAAAAGGAAAAATGAAAGTTTCTCCTTTTACATTTAGCAATATATACAGGAGATGGGGTTACTAGCCCCTTGCTTCCGGCATTTTAGTCGCCTCTACAACACGCATGGCTTACGGAGGAAGAATTCTGTTCCACTTCCCCATGGAGGTAAGAGGAAATAAACAAGAACAAGAACTAGAAAGAAAATAGAAGAAAACCCAGAGGGGTGTGTGTATATATATGCTTGTACATGTATGTGTAGTGTGACCTAAGTGTAAGTAGAAGTAGCAAGACGTACCTGAAATCTTGCATGTTTATGAGACAGACAAAAGACACCAGCAATCCTACCATCATGCAAAACAATTACAGGCTTTCGTTGTACACTCACTTGGCAGGATGGTAGTACCTCCCTGGGCGGTTGCTGTTTACCAGCCTACTACCTAGGGGAACTATTATATCTAGATTAAATAAAATTTAAATAACCCTGTGAGCATTCATTCACTATAATAATAATAAGTCACTGAATCCTTAATGTCAAAAAACAAAGTGATTATACCTTAATTCTAGATCAGTTTCATCTTCTTCATCAACTTCGGCACCCACTTCTTCCATACGCTTTTTGAGCATTAATTCTTCAAACTGAGCATAAGCATCAAACACTTGGGTAAAATCTCGCACTGTCATCACACTTCTTAGACCTTCTTCATATACATCTCGAGCCTGAAAAGGTTATAAAGTAAACATCATATTTTAAAGTTGTAACCAATTCATCAATTATACATCATCAGTCCAAATAATGCAATGTTTGAAGTACTAAAACACTGTGAAACACATCTATTATAAAAACTAGTATATGTTGCAGTAAACATTACAAGCAATTAGAAAATACAAAAACAATCATATATTAAAGCCAATAAATACTAAAATGTAAACATTGCTGGTGCATTTACACCACTGTTGCCGATTAGTGATAGTTTTTTTCACCAACCTCAACACACCATAAAAATGTAAGTTTTATCAGATTTTGCTTATTTCAGTTTTAACTGATTTAGAAAAACAGACTCTATTGATGTTATTTTCCAAATTTTTCCCATATACACAGGAATTTTTTTTCTGGTATTCCACAGTTAAAGGGTTAAATGAACAAAGAAAAATTAATATGTTATTGAAATAAAAGAAAAGTTCACCTACTAAATGAACCCACCCAACACCCCATAAATCATTTTTGCCCACCAACCACCTCAACCCTTTCTATTCCCTCAAGTCCTTCTACCCCTCTCAACCTGTCCTCTCCCCCCACACATCCACTACCCAGTTACAAACTTAGAATTATTTTCGCTTAGTCGCTTTATCCTAAGAACACAACTTTATCATTATACTTTTTAGTTTTAGATATACCAAAAACACTGTGTATACTACGGACTTTGCAAAAGTAATTATTTACACTTAAGAAACTTATGGTGAAACTTCAGTCCATTCTGGAACAGTGTCAGGTAACAAAGATCCAGGATTGACTAAAATATTGTCAAAAGCTTTTCTTTCTTAAGTGTGGGCTATTCGTGAATTTTACCAGTCATGGTAATTTTATTTTTTTTTTATTTATTGACTAATTTTTTTGCAATACAAGCTTTTCAAAAACAACTATTTACCATAATTATCTCAACCTCACCACTACCTAATACATCTTTTGCCAAGTGAAAATGCTCAATAAAATTTACTGTTTAATATGAAGCTTAATACTTACTCTTTCAAACAGGGCACTGATGATGTAAAATTCTGCCAGAGAGTTCCACAGCATGCCAACTTGATCTGTGTAACGTTGAAGACCATGACGAATGATGGCCTCCGCATTTTTAAGACTGGTTTCCTGGATGATTGAAACATTGTGAGTAAGGGGAGCTTCACAAATCAGTCAAATAATATACAGTTCTCTCTCTTATTTGGAACCCTATTATTAAGAATTCTTCTAAGATCTGGAAATAAATAATTAGTGTAATTTAATTTTTTTTTTCAACAAGTCGGCTGTCTCCCACCGAGGCAGGGGTGACCCAAAAAGAAAGAAAATTCCCAAAAAGAAAATACTTTCATCATCATTCAACACTTTCACCTCACTCACACATAATCACTGTTTTTGCAGAGGTGCCCAGAATACAACAGTTTAGAACTATATACATATAAAAATACACAATATATCCCTCCAAACTGCCAATATCCCAAACCCCTCCTTTAGAGTGCAGGCATTGTACTTCCCATTTCCAGGACTCAAGCCTGGTTATATAAAATAACCGGTTTCCCTGAATCCCTTCACTAAACATTACCCTGCTCACACTCCAACAGCTCATCAGGTCCCAAATACCATTCGTCTCCATTCACTCCTATCTAACACGCTCACGCACACCTGCTGGAAGTCCAAACCTCTCGCCCACAACACCTCCTTTACCCCCTCCCTCCAACCTTTTCGAGGATGACCCCTACCCCGCCTTCCTTCCCCTACAGATTTATACGCTCTCCATGTCATTCTACTTTGATCCATTCTCTCTAAATGACCAAACCACCTCAACAAACCCTCTTCAGCCCTCTGACTAATACTTTTATTAACTCCACACCTTCTCCTAATTTCCACACTCCAAATTTTCTGCATTATATTTACACCACACATTGCCCTTAGACAGGACATCTCCACTGCCTCCAACTGCCTCCTCGCTGCAGCATTTACAACTCAAGCTTCACACCCATATAAGAGTGTTGGTACTACTATATTTTCATACATTCCCTTCTTTGCCTCCATAGATAACATTTTTTGCCTCCACATATACCTCAATGCACCACTCGCCTTTTTTCCTTCATCAATTCTATGATTAACCTCATCCTTCACAAATCCATCCGCTGACACATCAACTCCCAAATATCTGAAAACATTCACTTCTTCCATACTCCTCCTCCCCAATTTGATATCCAATTTTTCTTTATCTAAATCATTTGATACCCTCATCACCTTACTCTTTTCTATGTTCACTTTCATCTTTCTACCTTTACACATACTCTCAAATTTGTCCACTAACCTTTGCAATTTTTCTTGAATCTCCCATAAGCACAGTATCATCAGCAAAAAGTAACTGTGTCACTTCCCATTTTGTATTTAATTTCCCATAATTTAATCCCACCCCTCTCCCGAACACCCTAGCATTTACTTCTTTTACAACCCCATCTATAAATATATTAAACAACCATGGTGACATTACACATCCCTGTCTAAGACCTACTTTTACCGGGAAGTAGTCCCCCTCTCTTCTACACACCCTAACCTGAGTCTTACTATCCTCATAAAAACTCTTTACAGCATTTAGTAACTTACCACCTATTCCATATGCTTGCAACATCTGCCACATTGCTCTCCTATCCACTATCATATGCTTTTTCTAAATCCATAAATGCAATAAAAACTTCCCTACCTTTATCTAAATACTGTTCACATATATGCTTCAATGTAAACACTTGATCTACATATCCCCTACCCACTCTAAAACCTCCTTGCTCATCCACAATTCTACATTCTGTCTTACCTCTAAATCTTTCAATAATAACCCTACCGTACACTTTTCCTGGTATACTCAGTAAACTTTTTCCTCTATAATTTTTACAATATCTTTTGTCCCCCTTCAGAGTTTGCTGAATAATGTACTGTATGGGCAAAATTCCAGTTTAGCTTATGTCTCTAATTCACAATTCACAAATTTCAGAATTATGAATTAGGGATTATCTCCTAGACTTGGAATTTTCTGCATACTGTACTGTGTTCTAAAGAATAAAAATTTGGAATTTCTTTCTAATCAGGATTTTTTCTGAATAACAAGAGTGTCAATTCCAGTTACTCAAAACTTTCTATAATTCATCAATAATGTGAAAACATCAGCATCAATAAGATAGGTGCTGTACAATTTAACGAAGCAATTATATAACAATTCAACAATTCATAATCTTGATTTTTACCAAATCAGCAATTGTCAACTAAGGAAGGGTGATTCAAATTAGAAAAATACCTTCACCATCACTAATTCCCTGACTACCTTTTTCGAAGTACATGGACATCATGATCCAACTGATCCATAGCACTGCAACATCCCACCCATCCTATAAAAGAGCAGGCACTATATACTTCCCACTTCCAGGATTCGAAATCCAATTAGCAGTTTTCCCGATACTTACCTTGCTCACACTCCAGGAGCACATCAAATACAGTGGACCCCGCATACCGTTGGCATCACATAAAGTTAAATCCGCATAGCAATACATTTTATCACTAAAATTTTGCCTCGCATAGCGCTAAAAAACTCGCTCAACGCTATTCGTCCGAGACGTGTCTATGTGAGGCCTGAGCCAGCCTCATATGTTCCGCCGGTAGCATTGTTTACAAGCCAGCCTCCATGGTAACATCCAAGCATACAATCGGAACATTTCGTATTATTACAGCATTTTTGGTGATTTTATCTGCAAAATAAGTGACCATGGGCCCCAAGAAAGCCTCTAGTGCCAACCCTGTGGTAAAAAGGGTGAGAAATATTATTGAAATACTGTGGTACCATGGTCAACTGCTGCTGCTGCTGCTGCAGTAGCACTGTCAGCTGCTGATGCTGCTGTAGCACCGTCAGCTGCTGCTGCTGCTGTAGCACCGTCAGCTGCTGCTGCTGCTGTACCACTGTCAGCTGCTGCTGCTGCTGTAGTACCGTCTGCTGCTGCTGTAGCACCGTCTCCTGCTGCTGTAGCACTGTCAGCTGCTGCTGTAGCACTGTCAGCTGCTGCTGCTGTAGCACTGTCAGCTGCTGCTGCTGTAGCACTGTCAGCTGCTGCTGCTGCACTGTCAGCTGCTGCTGCTGCTGCTGTAGCACTGTCAGCTGCTGCTGCTGCTGTAGCACTGTCAGCTGCTGCTGCTGCTGTACCACCGTCAGCTGCTGCTGTTGCTGTAGTACCGTCTTCTGCTGCTGTAGCACCGTTTTCTGCTACTGTAGCACTGTCAGCTGCTGCTATAGCACTGTCAGCTGCTGCTGCTGTAGCACTGTCAGCTGCTGCTGCTGTAGCACCGTTGTTGGTGAGGCTTATTGAGAATACCAAGAAATAATTAACCCCAGAGGGTTAGCCACCCAGGATAACCCAAAAAAGTCAGTGTCATCGAAGACTGTCTAACTTATTTCCATTGGGGTCCTTAATCTTGTCTCCCAGGATGCAACCCACACCAGTCGACTAACACCCAGGTGAACAGGGAAAAATGCCTGGAACTAGTGCTCATATTGGTGAATTTAAAGCCAGCAAAGGTTGGTTTGAGAGATTTAAGAATCGTAGTGACATACACAGTGTGATAAGGCCTGTTCTGGAAGAAAATGCCAAACAGGACCTACAGTACTCAGGAGGAAAAGGCACTCCCAGGACACAGTGTCTCATCAGTCATTGCTGCATCTTCAATAAAGGTAAGTGTCATTTATTCTTCATTTAGTAGAGTAGTACATGCACAATACATATTGTACATGTACTACTCTACTATTGTGCATGTATCCTTCTCTTTGTGTGTAGGAAAATGTATATTTCACGTGGTAAAATTTTTTTTTCATACTTTTGGGTGTCTTGCACGGATTAATTTGATTTCCATTATTTCTTATGGGGAAAATTCATTTGCATAACGATAATTTCGCATAACAATGAGCTCTCAGGAACGGATTAATATCGTTATGCGGGGGTCCACTGTACTGACAAAAAACTTGTCTCTGCTCACTCTGATCCAATACATTTATACATGCCTTGCAACCTTGCAACCTTTCCAGGGGCTTGTCCAACAGCTTCCATCCACCCAAGATTTATGCATCCTTTTGGCCAGCCTAATATTCTCCATCCATTCTAAATGGACAACCCATCATGACAACCATTCCTCCATTTCCTGAGTAATAATACCTTTCACGCTAATCACCTTGCTCCTTATTCACTTCGTAATATTCACACAACTGATTATTTCCCACCGATTTAGGGTAACACAAAAACAAGAATATACGTATATGTTTACCATCAATCACTGTCTTTCCAGACATGCAAAGGAAAGTGAATGGAGAAATTAAGAAAAGTTGTTCACAACATACTTTTTGTAGGTCAAAGCCTATAAAATGTGGATAAGCTAGAAAGAATATAGTTAAAAAAAAAAAAAAAAAAAAAAAAAAAAAAAAAAAAAAAAAAAGACTGGGTTATAATGAAATGCAAAAAACACTTGAAAGTCCTCCCTGGCTGATAGGAGGAAAACAGGGCAGCATGATAACCACTTGCATTATCATAACTGGATAACAAAAATATATTACAATTTCTTTCTTTTTTCTTTCAACAAACTGGCTGTATCCCACCAAAGCAGGGTGGCCCAAAGAAGGGGTTACTAGCCCTTTGCTCCTGACATTTTAGTCGCCTCTTATGACACGCATGGCTTACAAACGAAGAATTCTGTTCCACTTCCTTAGGAGATAAGAGGAGATAAACAAGAACAAGAACTAGTAAGAAAATAGAAGAAAACCCAGGGGGGTGTGTATGTATATGCTTGTACATGCATGTGTAGTGTGACCTAAGTGTAAGGAGAAGTAGCAAGATGTTCCTGAAATCATACATATTTATGAGACACCATCAATCCTACAATCATGTAAAAGAATTACAGGCTTTTGTTTTACACTTACTTGGCAGGATGGTAGTACCTCCCTGAGTGGTTGCTGTCTACCAACCTATTACCTAGGATATTACAATTTATCAACACCAATTAGGAGAACAAGAGGCCAAAATGGTAAATTGAAAAAAGAAAGAGCCGCTGAAATGATACTAGAAAAATAATTCTTCATAATAAGTGGTACAATAAAACAATAGACTACGACACAAGTGGGGGTATTATGTGCTACAACTCTATTAATATTAATTATATGATAGATCAAATACCTAGGTAGCAGGTTGGCAGACAGCAACCACCCTGCCAAGTGAGTGCAAAACAAAAGCCTATAACTGTTTTACATGATGGTAGGATTGCTGGTGTCTTTTTTCAGTCTCATAAACATGCAAGATTTCAGGTACGTCTTGCTACTTCTGCTTACACTTAAGTCACGCTACACATGACTGTACAAGCATATATATACACACCCCTCTGGGTTTTCTTCTATTTTCTTGCTAATTCTTGTTCTTGTTTATTTCTGCTTATCTCCATGGGGAAGTGAAACAGAACTCTTCCTCCGTAAGCCATGTGTGTCATAGGAGGCGACTGGAATGCCAGGAGCAAGGGGCTAGTAACCCCTTCTCCTGTATGTTTTACTAAATTTAAAAGAAGCAACTTTTGCTTTTCCTCTTGGCCACTCTGCCTCAATGGGATGCAGCCGATGCACTGAAAGAAGACATTGATCAAATACTGAAGCTACAGAAACACAATCATAGCTCTGTTTCTGTACTTACAAATGATCAGTAAGTAATTACACACATGCACACACAACTAATAGTGTATATATAATATTACCTGAGGGTTTTTAGAGATGAGTTCACAGAGTTCAGACCACAACTGATGCTTAGATTTGCCATATTTTGAAGTAAAGGAGTCTGTGTTAACACACCATTCGTATTTCTTGGCTGCCTCTTCCAGTCGGCCAATAGATATGAGGTAGCTTATGTAATCTTCAGTATCTTCTGGACATAGCTAAGAAAAGATACAAAAAAATAGTAATCTCTCTCTCATTTTTCTCTTATTCTAAATTTTCCAAAATTTAGAAAATAAATTTTGAGCTTTGAATAATCTCTGAAATTTTATTTTTTTTACTAATACCTAACAAAAACTCAGAAATTTAATTTAAATAAGCTTATAAAGTGCAAAAATTCAAAAGTTTAACTGGAATTTTTTTTAACTTAATTGTTTGTCCTAGGTTCTTAAATTTCTGTTATTCAGAAGTTTCTGTAACAAACAAAAATAAACACACACATGCCTCCCCCTCCCTCCCCCTCTCTCACTCACTCTCACTCTCTCTCTCTCTCTCTCTCTCTCTCTCTCTCTCTCTCACACACACACACACACACACACACACACACACACACACATACACACATACCTCCACCATACACACGAACACACACATATACACACACATACACACACACACACACGGAAGGAATAGACTCTGAGGTGTCCCTGTTTGCAGATGACGTGAAGTTGATGAGAAGAATTCACTCGATCGAAGACCAGGCAGAACTACAAAGGGATCTGGACAGGCTGCAGACCTGGTCCAGCAATTGGCTCCTGGAGTTCAATCCCACCAAGTGCAAAGTCATGAAGATTGGGGAAGGGCAAAGAAGACCGCAGACGGAGTACAGTCTAGGGGGCCAGAGACTACAAACCTCACTCAAGGAAAAAGATCTTGGGGGTGAGTATAACACCAGGCACATCTCCTGAAGCGCACATCAACCAAATAACTGCTGCAGCATATGGGCGCCTAGCAAACCTCAACAGCATTCCGACATCTTAATAAGGAATCGTTCAGGACCCTGTACATCGTGTACGTTAGGCCCATATTGGAGTATGCGGCACCAGTTTGGAACCCACACCTAGCCAAGCACGTGAAGAAACTAGAGAAAGTGCAAAGGTTTGCAACAAGACTAGTCCCAGAGCTAAGAGGTATGTCCTACGAGGAGAGGTTAAGGGAAATCAACCTGACGACACTGGAGGACAGGAGAGATAGGGGGACATGATAACGACATACAAAATACTGAGAGGAATTGACAAGGTGGACAAAGACAGGATGTTCCAGAGATTGGACACAGTAACAAGGGGGCACAGTTGGAAGCTGAAGACACAGATGAATCACAGGGATGTTAGGAAGTATTTCTTCAGCCACAGAGTAGTCAGTAAGTGGAATAGTTTGGGAAGCGATGTAGTGGAGGCAGGATCCATACATAGCTTTAAGCAGAGGTATGATAAAGCTCACGGCTCAGGGAGAGTGACCTAGTAGCGATCAGTGAAGAGGCGGGGCCAGGAGCTCGGACTCGACCCCCGCAACCTCAACTAGGTGAGTACAACTAGGTGAGTAAACACACACACACACACACACACACACAGAATGCATTATCCATAATAAATATATCTTCTGAAAAATGGTGTGTAAATTAAAAATGTGCTATTATTATATTCATGGAATATGCAGAACCCCTCCACCATCTCTTTGATGTTGGAATCCAATGTCAGTTAAGAAACAATCAAGTCTCTCCACATTAACAATGGGACCGACAGAGAGCAGGGTGGGCAGAGTCAGCATATCAAGGTATCAAAAGCTGTGTGTTCTGATCAATAAGATAATTAATCAAGAGATTTCAGATTGTTAGGATAACCTGTCAGTTCTCTCACAGTTGCACCAGTGTATGCTCAGCAGTTTTAAAACTTTGAACAATAATGTTTTGCCTATGGTTATAGCATGTTATGATTCCTGGTGCTAATTTTTATTGTGTGATAATCAGCCCAAGACAGTGTGTTGAGTTTCAATAGCACATTTATTACTTTATTTTTTTTAATTTGTGTTTGATGTTGGTGTCAAAGTTTAATTTATTGAACAGGCCTTATACTTTCTTGTTTGTACGTGTTTACTGAAGGCAGTCTTTACTCTTTTCACATATTTTATGTTTTGCATTTCATTTGAAGTTGGTAATGACTGCCTTACTTTCATTACTAAAAATACATATAGAAAATCTTTGGTGGGCATAGGCAAGTCCTCTAAAATGAACTCATCAAAAACACATGTCTAAATAAACTACATATTAAAAACAATTTTGCTTATTACAATCTTGTGTGAGTGTGGAAAAAAGTCTTTTATGTTAGATATTTTCCCCTGATATATAATTTGGCAAAAATTTCCAGGTAAGTAAAATACATTATGAAAGTTTACAAGCACATAAACTCTTGGTTGTCTACAAAATTATGCTACATTTATACAAATTTACAATACATTTACTGTAAACTTGAGCTTTTACAAAGAAAATATATTGTACCTTTAGGTATCTTCTCCAAACTCTGCCAGCTGTCTCTGGAATAGTATAAGACATAACAAACTTGAGGTACAGAGGCCATATGCGGTTATGCTGAGTAATTGGCAGAGCACAAAGGGCACGGTCAAATGTCTGAAAGGAAACCATTTTGTTGTACAATAGTATTATTTATTAAAACTGACAAAAACGTATCTACACAACAAGAAATATACATAAGTACATCGATACTACAACAAAAAAGCTCTACTAAGAAATGCAATCCCCTACACAGGTTTTGCATCTTCTTTCAGCAAACTGGCTGTATCCCACCGAAGCAGGGTGGCCCAAAAAGAAAAACAAAGTTCCTCTTTTTAACTTTAGTAATGTATACAGGAGAAGGGGTTAGTAGTCCCTTGCTTCTGGCATATTAGTCGCCCCTTATGACACGCATGGCTTACAGAGGAAGAATTCTGTTCCACTTCCCCATGGAGAGATAAGAGGAAATAAACAAGAACAAGAACTAGTAAGAAAATAGAAGAAAACCCAGAGGGGTGTGTGTATATATATATGCTTGTACATGTATGTGTAGTGTGACCTAAGTGTAAGTAAAAGTAGCAAGACGTACCTGAAACCTTGCATGTTTATGAGACAAAAAATGAACACCAGCAATCCTACAATCATGTACAACAATTACAGGCTTTCGTTTTACACTCACTTGGCAGGACAGCAGTACCTCCCTAGGCAGCTGCTGTCTACCAACCTACTACCTAAAACAGGTTTTGCATATTTCTAGATATTTCACAAGAACATAAGAAAGAAGAAGCACTTCAGCAGGCCTACTGGCCCATGCTAGACAGGTCTAACTCAACCACCTACACCCACCCATGTACTTGTCTAACCTATTTTTAAAGCTGCCTAAGGTTCTAGCTTCAATGAGGCTACCTGGGAGTTCATTCCACTCATCCACAACTCTACTACCTAATCAGTGCTTTCCTATATTCTTTCTAAATTTAAATTTTTCCAAATTAAACCCATTGTTAAGAGTCATGTCTTGATTAGATATATCCAGCAAGTTATTTATATCCCTTTTATTTATTCCTGTCTTCCATCTGAATAACAAAAAAAGGCACAATACCGTGACTGGAACGATACACAAATAACCCACACATAAAAGAGAGAAGCTTACGACGACGTTTCGATCCGACTTGGACCATTTACAAAGTCACACTAACCAGAAGTGGGGCAGGACGGCTATATATAGGCAGGAAGAGGTGGTGGTAGTAGTAGTAGTAGTAGTAGTAGTAGTAGTAGTAGTAGTAGTACAAGAATGGTATATAATACCGACAAGATGAAATTAAGACACATGCGCAACACCCGGGCATCCCTATCGTAGACGTTTCGCCATCCAGCAAGCCAATGGATGGCGAAATGTTCACAACAAAGACAACCAGACGCTGCACATGCGTCTTAATTTCATCAGTAGTAGTAGTAGTAGTAGTAGTAGTAGCAGTAGTAGAAGAGGTAGTAGTAGTGGTAGTGGTAGAAGTGGGGAATAAGGAGGATGAGCCAGTCAAATACAAAGGAAGGGGAGCACTGCAAGAGAGCTACGGGCCCACAGAGGGAGAGCAAGCGCACAGAGGTGCATGAAAGGGGAAGTGGTGAAATAAATGAAGAAGGAACAGAAACATGAGACAGAAGAGAGAAAGACAACCCAGAGGAGAAAAGGAAAGAGGAAAGGGGAAGAGGAAGAAAAAGAAAAAGAAAAAATGAGGAGTCAGGTTAAGTCACGGGTGTTCTGAAGTTTGGAGCATTTTACAATGTAGTGGGAGAGGAAGGCATCTACAGAGACAAAGCCAGGACTAAGGTTCATACAAGGAAAGTTGTGTATTAGAGAGGATTCAACTAGACGGCGACTGTTCGAGTTGGAAGTAGGGAAGACAGTTTTAGCAGAAGACCAGTCAATAGGATGGCTATGATCTCTGACGTGACAGAAAAGAGCATTGTTAGTGTCGGCAAGCCTAACACTATTTTTGTGCTCCCTAAGTCTGTCAGAAAGAGATCGACCAGTTTCTCCGAAGTATTGAAGAGGACAGGAGGAGCAAGAAATAGAGTAGACACCAGGAACATCTGTAGAGGGAGGAGAGGTATGAACGAGATTAGTGCGAAGAGTGTTAGTCTGGCGGAAGGTAAGCTTGATGTCTAAGGGACAGAGAGAATTGTTGAGATTAGAAAGACCGGAAATGTAGGGAAGGCAGAGGATAGAAGAGTTCCCAGGAGTAGAGAGTTTGGGAGAGAAGAAATTTCATTTAGCACGTGAGAGGGCAGAGTCTATGAAATGGGAAGGGTAGCCAAGACGGGAAAACGAATTATGAAGAGTGGAATGCCCGGGTGTTGCGCATGTATCTTAATTTCATCTTGTCGGTATTATATACCATTCTTGTACTACTACTACTACCACCACCACCTCTTCCTGCCTATATATAGCCATCCTGCCCCACTTCTGGTTAGTGTGACTTTGTAAATGATCCAAGTCGGACCGAAACGTCGTCGTAAGCTTCTCTCTTTTATGTGTAGGTTATTTTCATCTGAATACTTCAATCATATCCCCCTTCTAATTCTACAATTTTCCACAGACTGCGGATTCAGTGCCCTCGGTCTATCTTCATAAGAAAGATTTCTGAAACATGGGATCAACTTTGTCATCTTTCTGTGTATGTTTCCCAGAGCATTTTTATTCAATCTGTATTATGAACTGTGCAACATAAACTAAATTAGGCCTTATCAAGGATATACAAAGTAGAAGGATAACCTGAGGACTTCTATTATATTTGTACTTTTTAATATGAAGCCAAGAATTCCATTAGCTTTATTTCAAACATTTATACCTTCATTTTTCATGTTACCACAGTGAAAAATAAAGTATTCAATAAAATGGAAAGAGAGTTAATGTTTTTAACAAATCAACATAATGATTGGTATTGCATACTGTTTGATTATAAATACAGCAAACTTATTAACAGTTGCTGAAAATGCACTAAAAAAAATTAATACTTCTCCTCAGGAGACCACTTACTATACAGTAACCCCAATATACTATATTGCATCATAACTGTACCCAATTTAAAAAGATTGCTACTTTATGAAAACAGTAAAATTAGGTGTACAAAAAAAGTTTAAGAAACCTACCTTCCTAGTTCTTGTTATCTTTTTCTGATTCATTAAAAATTGGCAGTAATCTATCCATACACGAGGCATCTTGTGCATAAATACCAAGGCACGTTCAAAAGTATTATTAACACTCTCAAACTCTGGGTCTGTGATGCATCGGCCCTTAACTTGCTGCATTCTTAGTCTGAAAGAAGCCGTAAAATAAATACAGTACTTATACATTTTGCAATAAAATAAATAACTGTAATGGTGAAAATGTAATTTTTTCAACTGTTTCCATACTGTATACCAGGATACTAGAGAAATTGTTTAGAATATATGGTATACATTCATAGTCAAGAAATAATAGATTTCCTCAATTTACGCAGATTCACTTTGTATGACTTCGCTTCAAAGTGGTGACCCTATTTCTACCAAGAATTCGCTACATGCAGTAAAAATTCACTCTTATGTGACTAGAGAGAGTCGTTGCTGTGCATTTTCACTCACGTGCGATCACTCAAGTACAGCACAATTTAATATTTAACCAATATCACATTAAATATCACTCTTAAACTAATGTAGTGTGTTGAAGGCAGTGGTGAGTGAGAGATGCTGTTGCATCATGTCATGAACCTTACCCACTAAACATGTCCAGGCCTCTTGAGCCTGTCCTTTCCTTCCCCCTTACAAACATCAAGGGAGGCAGTAAATATGTAAGGGTAGAAGGCAGTGAGTGAAGGAGGCAGTGAGTGAAGGAGGCAGTGAGTGAAGGAGGCAGTGAGTGAAGGAGGCAGTGAGTGAAGGAGGCAGTGAGTGAAGGAGGCAGTGAGTGAAGGAGGCAGTGAGTGAAGGAGGCAGTGAGTGAAGGAGGCAGTGAGTGAAGGAGGCAGTGAGTGAAGGAGGCAGTGAGTGAAGGAGGCAGTGAGTGAAGGAGGCAGTGAGTGAAGGAGGCAGTGAGTGAAGGAGGCAGTGAGTGAAGGAGGCAGTGAGTGAAGGAGGCAGTGAGTGAAGGAGGCAGTGAGTGAAGGAGGCAGTGAGTGAAGGAGGCAGTGAGTGAAGGAGGCAGTGAGTGAAGGAGGCAGTGAGTGAAGGAGGCAGTGAGTGAAGGAGGCAGTGAGTGAAGGAGGCACTGAGTGAAGGAGGCAGTGAGTGAAGGGGCAGTGAGTGAAGGAGGCAGTGAATGAAGGAGGCAGTGAGTGATGGAGGCAGTGAGTAAAGGAGGCAGTGAGTGAAGGAGGCAGTGAGTGAAGGAGGTAGTGAGTGAAGGAGGCAGTGAGTGAAGGAGGCAGTGAGTGAAGGAGGCAGTGAGTGAAGGAGGCAGTGATTGAAGGAGGCAGTGAGTGAAGGAGGCAGTGATTGAAGGAGGCAGTGAGTAAAGGAGGCAGTGAGTGAAGGAGGCAGTAAGTGAAGGAGAAAGTGATGGAGGGAGGCAGTGAGCGAAAGAAGCAGTGAGGGAAAGAGGCAATGAAAGAAGGAGGCATGAGGGAGGGAGGCAGTGAGGGAGGGAGGCAGTGAGGGAGGCAGTGAGTGAGGAAGGCAGTGATGAAGGCAGTGAGGGAGGCAGTGAATGAAGGACACAGTGAGTAAAGAAGGCAATGAGTTAAGAAGGCAGTGAGTGAAAGAGGCAGTGAGTGAAAGAGGCAGTGAATGAGAGAGGCAATGAGTGAGGGATGCAGTGAGTGACATAGCCACCATCTCATCCAGGACAGACCACCCTACTGGGGTCCCAGCCAACCCACCTCCATCTTTCCCATAAGCAGGGGCTGAGGCCTCCCTCCACGGCTTGCAGGTTACCCACCCACCACCATGCCTCTCCAACAACCCTCCACAACTTGCCCAGTGAGCCAACAACTCACGTTCTAACACAACGTAAATAATAAATTTACAGTTCTTGGCCAATCTTTTACCCCAAAAATGTGGGGCCTTCATGCATGCATGAAATGAACATTCACAAAGTGTCTATGCATTCGATGAAAAACTAAATGAGAAAAAATATATGTGGAATTAGGAAAGTCTGAGGATGAACCCCTATACATTACACATTATAATGGGTTCACTATATGTGATTTAGCTCTATGCACCATCAACCAGGAACACATCTATCACATACAGTGAGGAAGACCTGTAAATGCCAAAAAATTTAATTTGTCTTTGCTGGAAAATAAAAGAGGAAGAAGTGCTACATGATAACTATGCTCTAAGTTCATCTGTGCTTTGAATATAAACCTTTTGGAACAAGCAACAGCAAGGACAAGAGCAAACACTTTTAAATTGCAGAAGTGTGAAGAGATTGCAGAAAGTGCCACATACAGTGGTAACCAGAGTTTCGAACTGCTCCTAACTCGATCAATTATGTAAGTGTATTATTTTAAGTGCTTTTGTAAGTGTATTTTTGGGGGTCTGAAACAGACTAATCTATTTTACATTATTCCTTATGGGAAAAATTCATTCAGTAACGGCACTCGAACAGCCTTCTGGAATGAAGAAAGTTCAAAACTCAGGGTACCACTGTACATTTACAAAACTGTTGATAAATGGAATGAGGCTAAGGAGTTGGCCCATCTTCCAGCTTTTTAAATGTTTGCAGGAAAGCATATGCTTGAGATTTTACAAAATTTTAGTTTTGTTATTGTCAGATAATTATCCTATATGGAGATATAGTTTAATATATGCTAATTTAATCTAACTGAGAACAACAATTAAAAATTCTGTAAAATTTCAAGCATGAAGAAATTCATGAAGGGTAATTCAACATATAATGCATGTTCAAATTGGATAGCAGTTTGCAGCAGTTTGTGTGCAGGTATTGCAAAGTCAAACTAAAGTTCTGGAGGTGGGGAAGTACATTGCCTGCATTTTGAAGGAGGGGTAAGGATGTTGCAGTGTGGAGGGTTATTTGAAGCGTGATGTTTACATTTCTGGCAAGACAGTTTATCAAGTGAGTGACAATCAATGAGTTTCCTCTTTTGGACCACTCTACCTTAGTGGGAAACAGCCATTATGAAAAAAAAAAAAAAGATGAGGTAACAGAAGCATAGCTCTACTCTTGTAACTACAAATAAGCAATTATAGATAGAACATTACTACAGTACACACAAGGTAAAATTCTGGTAGTGTGTGTATCAAGTCTAAAGCACATACCTACCTCAGATACTGGTGCCACAGCTTGTAACTACCAGGCATCTGCAGTAACGATCTTTCATAGACCTTGTTAAGTTGTTCACACGAAGCATCTTTTTTGTGTTCTATGTATCGTTGCCAGTGTTTAACTGAAAAAGGGTTACGTAGAAGTTCCTCTTCATATTGTAGATCATCCGTTTCCTGTAATGAATGTGGAATGTAGTACAAAGTTCAAAAACTTTGTTATAACTAGCAGAACACTACCTGTTCTGGTTTGTATGGTTTATAAGTACAATTTGTAAAAACAAAGGCCATGGGATCACTATAGTGTGTGACCTATAGCCTACAAACATGAAAGATTTATACACAAATAACTCACACATAGAAGAGAGGAGCTTACAACAATGTTTCAGTCTGACTGTCCCTGTCACAGACAGGGACAGAACAAGAGTAGTAGTAGGAAAGGAGGAAGAGAGGTAGTGGTAGAGGTAGTAGTAGTAGCAGTGGAGTCAGTCAAATACTAAGAAAGAGGAGCACTGCAAGGGAGCTAGGGGCCCACAGAGAGTAGGAGCAAGAACACAAAGGAGGGAAAATAATAAAGCACAAATACCCAAGGCATAAGAAAGAAAACCCAAAGGAGAAAGAGGAAAGGGTAAGTGGGAGAAGAGAAAAAAGAATCAGGTTAAGTCACGGGTGTTCTGAAGTTTGGAGCATTTAATAATGTAATGGGACAGGAAGGCATCCACAGAGACAAAGCAAGGACTAAGATTCATACAAGGAAAGTTGTGTATGAGGGAGGATTCAACCAGACAGTGACTGAAAGTTAGAAGTAGGGTAGGCAGTTTTAGCAGAAGACCAGTCAATAGGATGACATGACAGAAAAGAGCAAGCCTAACACTACTTTTGTGCTCTCTGAGTTGTTCAGAAAGAGAACGGCCAGTTTCTCCAAAGTACTGAAGAGGACAGGAGGAACAAGAAATAGAGTAGACACCAGGAGCATCTATAGAGGGAGGAGAGGTATGATCTAGATTAGTGCAAAGAGTGTTAGTCTGGCGAAAAGTAAGTCTGATGTCTCAACAACTCTCTCCGTTCCTTAGACATCAAACTTACTTTTCACCAGACTCATACTCTTCACACTAATGTAGTTCATATCTCTCCTCCTTCTACAGATGCTCCTGATGTCTATAGATGCTCCTAGGTGATCCCTCCCTGATAGATGACCCTTGAGGGGTCACCTATCACTAAAACAGGTACCTGGGTATTAATCGACAGGTCACATCCTGGAAACAAAATTGACCTTATTTGTAGACAGCCTGTACTGTCTGCACAGACAGCCTATGCTGTCTGCCAGCTTAGTTCATATTTCGCAGCACTATGGTGTTGCCCTCTCTAGCCAGCCCAAGTCAGTGGGACGCTGGTCCCACACGCTCTCACTCACTCAGCGGCCTAGCAGCAGTCAACAGTCCTACTCCCTCTCCCCCTCGTGGGATGGCCCTCCCCGGCCATGGGCACAACACACAAGCCTGTGTACCCACCATGACTTTGCAAATAAACTAAGAAGCCTCCGAAGACGTATCATTTACTCCCTGCTACCAGCATCACCAAATAATCTCATTAAACATTGGTGGGAAGCGGTGGTCGCAGCAGTTGTGTTTGCCGGGGAGAGGAAGGAAATAGGATGAAGTCATCTTCACTTTATCACCCTATACAAGAAGCATCCGTCTCTCAACGAGTTATCCTGATGTCGTGTCTGCACGTTTCAGCATCCAGACACAGGTACAAGCAGGATCTAGCCGAAATTTACTGAATTTCTTAGAGAATTGTAAGTGACCCCATGCCACAGCATCCCACGCTGTTTCTCAAGTCACGTGTTCAGCGTCTCTTGTATGTTCTGCGGTTGTTGTTCAGCTCAGCACAGCTATTTCAGCAAGCCAGAGGTGAGTTTTGTGGTGATTTCTGCATCCAGTGTGAGTATTTCGCCGTGTTGTGGGTTTGAGAGGAGGAAGTAGCCAGATCCTCCCTCGCCATACACTCACCCACGCTCCTCGCCACCACACTACCATACACAACTATGTGCCCACTCCCTCTGCTGTGTTTTTCTGCTGTTTTCCGTGTGAATTCATTGCCAGAGCTGTGTATCCGAGTGCCCGAGGCGACTCGAAGCCACGTGGATCAGCAAGCCACGTGGATCAGCAAGCCACGTGGAACAGCAAGCCACGTGGATCAGCAAGCCACGTAGATCACGAAGCCACGTGGATCAGTAAGCCACGTGGATCAGCAAGCCATGTTGATCAGCATGCTATGTAGATCACGATGCCACGTGGATCCCGACGCCACGTGGAGTGTGGACGAAACCACGTGGATCTACGAGCCACGTGAGTTACTGATGCTGCTGCCCGACTTCATGACATCATGATGTCTGCCTGACATCACCTTGAGATGTCTGCTGACATCACCTTGAGATGTCTGCTGACGTCACAATGCTGCTGACATCACCTCGCGACGTCACGCCTGACATCACATGATGTCACATCGAGTGTTTCAGTAATTATGTCAGTATTGTTGAGAAGATTGAGAGAAGATGTATGTTGTGTTAATTAATTCCTCTCAGTCAGTGTTTTCACATAGTGTATGGCTAAGTGTCAATTTTGTGCACAGAAAAGCATCATTTGCTAGTTTAAGCCATGTTGTACCGCATGTACCGCAGGTGTGCGTAAAGTTTTCCGTGTGTCCTGTGTGGTCTTGAGCCCAGCTGTGTGTCGACCACAGGTCTGCAGCCAGACCCCTGTGTAGCTCTTTGTTGCCTGTCACCTGGTGTGACCAGCGCGTTTGACAGCTGATATTAGTCAGCCCTGAGCGTATAAGCCCCTTTGTACAAAAAGCTCTTATGCTCGTCGCTCATAGATGTTCTGCAGAATCGTACCTGCTACGATTCCCATCGAGATTTGTTTCACTTCACCTCCAGACCTTCAGAATGCAGTTATATGTAGAGAAACAAGTCTGGGGACGCTTAGACTAACCTCTGCTGTAACTCCAACTGCCGAAAGAATGACACTCGTCAAGCCGCAGTTAGCCCTGTCTGCAGGCACTGTGTCAGCCTCGTGTCACAAGCTTCAGTGAGCTCCTGCACAAAGATGATGTCACTTTGACTGCTAGCTTGCTCACTGCAGTCTGGTGTATGATGTTACGACTCCCTGATGTTTCGCCCAGTCGTCTCTGCCACGACTCGCTCCATGACTTACTGCACGCTCACCGGCAGTGAGAGCCCAGCGACAGTACCAGTTGAGAAGTGTCCTCCTGAGTCGCTTGCCAGAAGTCCTGCCCAGTTGCAGAGTTTTGATGACGGCTCACTCGAGGGCACCAGCATGTCATGCCCCAGGTTGAGTGAAACTTGCAGTGACTCCTACAATGACTGCTTCACCATTCTAGAGGAGACCGTACCCCGTTACGTCACAGTTCAGCCGCAGCGATGTCTCCTGTGTTACAGTATCTGTCCAGACGCAGGAAGGCATGTAGTGATGTCCATCGACGCTTACTGCCTATGACCACGATGTTCAGCACACCCCACATGTTTTTTTCTTCCCTCCCTGTAGGAAGTTGTTTTCCATGTCCATATGTATATATACATGTTTTTTTATTTTGTGTTCTAAGACAGCCTATGCTTTCTGCCAACTTAGTTCATATTTCACGGCACTAAGGCGCTGCCCTCTCTAGCCAGCCCAAGTCAGTGGAACACTGGTCCCACACGCTCTCACTCACTCAGCGGCCTAGCAGCAGTCAACAGTCCTACTCCCTCTCTCCCTCGTGGGATGGCCCTCCCCGGCCATGGGCAAAACACATAACCTGTGTACCCACCACGACTTTGCAAATAAACTAAAAAGCCTCCGAAGATGTATCATTTACTCCCCGCTACCAGCATCACCAAATAATCTCATTAAACATATTTACCCAAAATGCTCTGTATAACATTCAAAGTAATTATGGGGCTTTTTATATAGTAATAAGTCATTAATGTCAGGTAGGCCTGTATACCTTGTACATGTTTGTGTAGAAATAAAGATTATTATTATTATTAGCAATGTGAGGTAACAGAAGCATAAATAAAAAGATGTACAACTTAAACTATGATCAATTTCTCTAGTATTAAGTAGCCTGTAAGCCATTAACTTTAGTCTGCCCATAATGCCAAGGCATGATAGTGGTTCTCTTTGCACTGCAACTCATTACTGCAATTACATAATCTCAATGTAATATTGCAAGGAAATAAAAATTTGCATTTGTATGCACTGGGGGGTCATGCTTTTCCACCCTATACGCTAGGTTTCTGGCCACACTGCTTTTCTATACTATATGCCTCCTGTCCAGCAAGGGAAGGCAATAACTCTACTTACAATAATTAAGGTTGGCGCATCCATTATCATAATAAAAATCCAAATTCTTTTCTTAACAAATTTTGATAGTAAACGTCGCTCGTGTTGTTGTTGTTGTTGGATTGAAGGGTTAATACGGCCCTCAGACCATATGAACCCTCCGGCCCACATCTTGACCGCTGCATTTAAGAGATATCTTAGGATTTTTAACCCCTGAGGGTTAACCACCCAGGATAACTCAAGAAAGTCAGTGCGTCATCGAGAACTGTTTAACTTATTTCCATTGGGGTCTTCAATCTTGTCCCCCAGGATGCGACCCACACCAGTCGACTAACAACCAAATACCTATTTGCTGCTAGGTGAACAGATGTAAGGAAACGCGTCGAAATGTTTCCACCCGCCGGGAATCGAACCCGGGCCCTCCGTGTGTGAAGCGGGAGCTTGAGCCACCAGGCCAGACATGCAAAATAACCACAGGCGAAGTTGAATAATAGTTCTAGGCTTTTCGTGTTGCAATCAACACATCACCAAGAGCTTGCAATGTTGCAGAAATAGAGTAGGAAATTCAGGCAGATTCGTTCAGGAAAACAACTCACAACCTTATCTACTTTGTATTAATATTGGTAGAATTACTGACAATATGTTAAGTAAAAGGACACAAGTGCAACTAATGTGACATTTTATTTTGGCAACGTCTCGCTCTCCAGGAGCGGCTTGATAAAGCTCCTGGAGAGCGAAACGTTGCCACAATTCACCCCGATTCACAAAGGAGGAGATCAAACAGACTTGAATAACTATAGACCAATATCTAAGTTACCTCTGCTCTCTAAAATCTTTGAAAAATTAATTCATAGGCAGATCTATTCTTACTTCGTCTCTCAAGACATACTCAACCCTTCTCAGTTTGGAATCAGGATTAATAAAAGCACAAATGATGCTACTGTACACATGCTAGAACTAATATACACTGCTCTCGAGAAGAAGGAAGTCCCACTGGGAATCTTTATTGATTTACGTAAATCTTTTGATACAGTCGACCACGATTTGCTGCACATTGGGTGGCTCGGTGGCCTGGTGGCTAAAGCTCCCGCTTCACACACGGAGGGCCCGGGTTCGATTCCCGGCGGGTGGAAACATTTCGACACGTTTCCTTACACCTGTTGTCCTGTTCACCTAGCAGCAAATAGGTACTTGGGTGTTAGTCGACTGGTGTGGGTCGCATCCTGGGGGACAAGATTAAGGACCCCAATGGAAATAAGTTAGACAGTCCTCGATGACGCACTGACTTTCTTGGGTTATCCTGGGTGGCTAACCCTCCGGGGTTAAAAATCCGAACGAAATCTTATCTTATCTTATCTTATCACATTAAATTAACACACTATGGTACAAGAGGGCACTCCCTCAATTACCTAAAGTCATACATTAGTAACAGAAGCCAATATGTGTACACAAATGGAGCTAACTCTTCCACACAACCAATTACAGTTGGGATCCCACAAGGAAGTGTCCTTGGCCCTCTCCTCTTTCTCATTTACATCAATGACCTACCGAATGCATCACAACTACTCAAACCCATATTATTTGCAGATGACACAACATACGTCTTCTCTCACCCAAGCCCAGTCATACTGGCCAACACTGTCAATGCTGAACTGCAGAAAATATCTACCTGGATGATGGCTAACAAGCTTACACTCAATACTGACAAAACCTATTTCATTCAGTTTGGAAACAGAGCCACAAATGTTCTACTTAACATAGCGATAAACGGATCACCCATCACAAGACTCACAGAGGGAAAATTCCTAGGAATCCACCTTGACAGTAGCCTTATATTCAAAACCCATATACCACAAATTTCCATGAAAATCTCTAAGACAGTATCCCCTCAAGGAAGGTTCCTTGATAAGAGATAAGATAAGATAAGATTTCGTTCGGATTTTTAACCCCGGAGGGTTAGCCACCCAGGATAACCCAAGAAAGTCAGTGCGTCATCGAGGACTGTTAACTTATTTCCATTGGGGTCCTTAATCTTGTCCCCCAGGATGCGACCCACACCAGTCGACTAACACCCAGGTACCTATTTGCTGCTAGGTGAACAGGACAACAGGTGTAAGGAAACGTGTCGAAATGTTTCCACCCGCCGGGAATCGAACCCGGGCCCTCCGTGTGTGAAGCGGGAGCTTTAGCAACCAGGCCACCGGGCTCTTGATTTAGGGAATTGGATCTGTGCTCCAGTTCCCTGAATTAAGCCTGAATGCCTTCCACATCCCCCCCCAGGCGCTGTATAATCCTCCGGGTTTAGCGCTTCCTCCTTGATTATAATAATAATCTAAGACAGTAGGCATACTATCAAAGATACGGTACTATGTTCCACAATCAGCTCTCCTGGCACTGTATCACTCACTTATATACCCTTATTTCACATATGGAATTTGTGCATGGGGATCAGCAACATTAAATCACCTTAGATCACTAATAACCCAGCAAAAGGCTATAGTCAGAATGATAACAAATTCCCACTCCAAACAGCTTACTCCACCAATATTCAAAAATCTAAAACTACTCATCGTAAAGAACATCCATACTTGTCAAGCCATTACGCGTAACGACTTGACAAAGCTCCTAGAGAGCGAAACGTTGCCACACTAAAATATCACATTAGTATCTTTTAACCTAACAAATTGTCGATAATTTTCCCAACATTAATACAATATTTAAATAGAGCGCCACGGCCATCAACACAACATTATCACCAACAACCAATCACAAGCAAGGTTTGTGAGAAAGTTGATGGTGATTGGTGGAGAATGTGGTGGCTGGGAGGCAGCAAGATCACTGCGCCAGACGTCTTACTCCTCGTCTCAGACTTTGTTCTACTCTGAAACAATATGGATTTCTACAGGAATCTTAAAGGTAACTACGTCGTGCTGATGGTTAGTGTTGTTACGTGAACATGTTTGGTCGTTGTGTCACTGCTCTGATAAGTAAAAATCTTGTGCTGAAAGTCATGGTGATATTTCAAGTCATAGTATAAACCATTATTTATTAATTTAAATAGTTATGTCTCGTATTCTTGGTGACGGAGACCAGTGGTGTGTACGACAGTTTGTAACTTTGATAGTAATATAGTTTAGTGTTATGCTCCTCAAGGGAGGTGCCTTGATGGCACGAAGGGGCTCTTGATCCAGGGAAGTGGAACACTTCTCCCCTTCCTTGGATAGAACCTCATTACTTCCCATGTATGTGTTGTATGACCCCTAAGAGTTTACCACTCCTGATTATAATAGTGCCTATTTATAAAATTTTGTATAAGAATTGTTCGGATTTTTAACCCGGAGGTTTAGCCACCCAGGATAATCCAAGAAAGTGCGTCATCGAGGACTATCTGTCTTATTTCCATTGTGATCCTTCAAACTTGTCCCCCAGGATGCGACCCACACCAGTCCACTAACGCCTAGGTACCTACAGTGGGTGTCCCATGGCCTGGTAGGCAACGCACTCAGCTCAGTGTGTGTGGTTTGATCCCTGGCAAGGGTGGAAACATTGGTCATGTTTCCATACACCTGTCCCTGTTTCCCTAGCAAGCAAGTAGGTACCTGGGTGTTAGTCAAGTGGTGTGGGTCACATCCTGGGGGACAAGATTGAGGACCCCAATGGAAATAAGACAGTCCTCGATACCTGGAGTTTACCTGGAGAGAGTTTCGGGGGTCAACGCCCCCGCGGCCCGGTCTGTGACCAGGCCTCCTGGTGGATCAGCGCCTGATCAACCAGGCTGTTGCTGCTGGCTGCATGCAAACCAACGTACGAGCCACAGCCCGGCTGATCAGGAACTGACTTTAGGTGCTTGTCCAGTGCCAGCTTGAAGACTGCCAGGGGTCTGTTGGTAATCCCCCTTATGTGTGCTGGGAGGCAGTTGAACAGTCTCGGGCCCCTGACACTTATTGTATGGTCTCTTAACGTGCTAGTGACACCCCTGCTTTTCATTGGGGGGATGGTGCATCGTCTGCCAAGTCTTTTGCTTTCGTAGTGAGTGATTTTCGTGTGCAAGTTCGGTACTAGTCCCTCTAGGATTTTCCAGGTGTATATAATCATGTATCTCTCCCTCCTGCGTTCCAGGGAATACAGGTTTAGAAACCTCAAGCGCTCCCAGTAATTGAGGTGTTTTATCTCCGTTATGCGCGCCGGGAAAGTTCTCTGTACATTTTCTAGGTCGGCAATTTCACCTGCCTTGAAAGGTGCTGTTAGAGTGCAGCAATATTCCAGCCTAGATAGAACAAGTGACCTGAAGAGTGTCATCATGGGCTTGGCCTCCCTAGTTTTGAAGGTTCTCATTATCCATCCTGTCATTTTTCTAGCAGATGCGATTGATACAATGTTATGGTCCTTGAAGGTGAGATCCTCCGACATAATCACTCCCAGGTCTTTGACGTTGGTGTTTCGCTCTATTTTGTGGCCAGAATTTGTTTTGTACTCTGATGAAGATTTAATTTCCTCATGTTTACCATATCTGAGTAATTGAAATTTCTCATCGTTGAACTTCATATTGTTTTCTGCAGCCCACTGAAAGATTTGGTTGATGTCCGCCTGGAGCCTTGCAGTGTCTGCAATGGAAGACACTGTCATGCAGATTCGGGTGTCATCTGCAAAGGAAGACACGGTGCTGTGGCTGACATCCTTGTCTATGTCGGATATGAGGATGAGGAACAAGATGGGAGCTAGTACTGTGCCTTGTGGAACAGAGCTTTTCACCGTAGCTGCCTCGGACTTTACTCTGTTGACGACTACTCTCTGTGTTCTGTTAGTGAGGAAATTATAGATCCATCGACCGACTTTTCCTGTTATTCCTTTAGCGCGCATTTTGTGCGCTATTACGCCATGGTCACACTTGTCGAAGGCTTTTGCAAAGTCTGTATATATTACATCTGCATTCTTTTTGTCTTCTAGTGCATTTAGGAGCGACCTGTTCTAAACCCATGTTACCCTGGGTTGTGTAACTGATGGGTTTCTAGATGGGTGGTGATCTTGCTTCTTAGGACCCTTTCAAAGATTTTTATGATATGGGATGTTAGTGCTATTGGTCTGTAGTTCTTTGCTGTTGCTTTACTGCCCCCTTTGTGGAGTGGGGCTATGTCTGTTGTTTTTAGTAACTGAGGGACGACCCCCGTGTCCATGCTCCCTCTCCATAGGATGGAAAAGGCTCGTGATAGGGGCTTCTTGCAGTTCTTGATGAACACAGAGTTCCATGAGTCTGGCCCTGGGGCAGAGTGCATGGGCATGTCATTTATCGCCTGTTCGAAGTCATTTGGCGTCAGGATAACATCGGATAGGCTTGTGTTAATCAAATTTTGTGGCTCTCTCATAAAAAATTCATTTTGATCTTCGACTCTCAGTCTGGTTAGCGGCTTGCTAAAAACTGAGTCACATAAATGTTAAACCTAAAACCCAATCTAACTTTATTATTTTTTAAATACACTACCTAACAGAATCACTACCTAACTGAATGCAACCATATGACCTGTCTTTGTAATACTCACTTGTGCTTTATAGTTATCTGTTTACATTAATGTTTTATCACTGATTTCATCATTGCTTAGTAGCAGCGCTGTATAGTCCTTGTGGCTTAGCGCTTCTTTTTGATTATAATAATAATAATAATCATTGCTTAGTTAATCTTAAGTTAATTTTAAGCCAGCCCGTAATGCTATGCATAGTATAAGTGGCTTTGGCATACTGCTCTTATCTGTATTTTTTTTGTACCTCTGTATGTGTGCACAAATTAGATTTTAGATTTTAGATTTAGATTTAGATATTGGGACTTGAGTAGCTCACTCATTTCCTTGCTGTCATCTGTGTAGGACCCATCTTGTTTAAGTAGGGGCCCAATACTGGACGTTGTTCTCGATTTTGATTTGGCATAGGAGAAGAAATACTTTGGGTTTCTTTCGATTTCATTTATGGCTTTTAGTTCTTCCCGCGATTCCTGACTCCTAAAGGATTCTTTTAGCTTAAGTTCGATGCTTGCTATTTCTCTGACCAGTGTCTCCCTGCGCATTTCAGATATATTGACCTCTTTTAGCCGCTCTGTTATTCTTTTCCGTCGCCTGTAAAGGGAGCGCCTGTCTCTTTCTATTTTACATCTACTCCTCCTTTTTCTTAGAGGAATAAGCCTTGTGCATACATCGAGTGCCACCGAGTTAATCTGTTCTAGGCATAAGTTTGGGTCTGTGTTGCTTAGTATATCTTCCCAGCTTATATCGGTTAGGACTTGGTTTACTTGGTCCCACTTTGTTTTTGTTATTGAAGTTGAATTTGGTGAATGCTCTCTCGTGACTAGTCTCATTTTGTCGGTCTGGGGCTCAACGCATACATGTCTGAACCTCAATTATGTTGTGATCTGAGTATATTGTTTTTGATATGGTGACATTTCTTATCAGATCATCATTGTTAGTGAAGATGAGGTCTAGTGTATTCTCCAGTCTAGTAGGCTCTATTATTTGCTGGTTTAAATTGAATTTTGTGCAGAGATTTAAAAGCTCGTGTGAGTGTGAGTTTTCATCAGAGCTGCCTCCTGGTGTTATTACTGCAACAATATTATTTGCTATATTCCTCCATTTTAGGTGCCTTAAGTTGAAGTCCCCCAGGAGCAAGATGATGGGTGCAGGAGCTGGAAGATTTTCCAGACAGTGGTCAATTTTTAACAGCTGTTCCTGGAATTGCTGGGATGTTGCATCCGGAGGCTTGTAGACTACCACAATGACTAGGTTTTGGTTCTCGACCTTTACTGCTAAAACTTCCACTACATCATTTGAGGCATTAAGCAGTTCTGTGCAAACAAGTGACTCTGCAATGTACAGGCCAACCCCCCCCTTTTGCCTGTTCACTCTGTCACATCTGTATAGGTTGTAACCTGGGATCCATATTTCGATGATGATAATAATATCTTTATTTACTACAAGTACATGTACATGGTATACAGGCCTAACTGACATCAATGACAAACTATTACATAGAAAACCCTTCGTTATGCTGAGCATTTCGGGCAAATTACGTCAGTTTTGTCCCAGGATGCAACCCACACCAGTCAAATAACACCCAGGTACCCATTTTAAATTGATGGGCAAACAGGGACAGGGACAGTAGGTGTCTTATGGAGACACGTCCCTAGTGTTTTCTAGCCATACCAGACCTCAGTGTGTGAGCCGAGTGTGCTAGTGATCGAGCTACAGGACACCATACCCTTCTTGGTTTATCCTGAGTGGATAACCCTCCGGGGTTAAAAATCCGAACAAAATCTTATCTTATCATGCCCAACATTTCCAACTGTCAGGGCTCTGACCATGAACACTCAGTGTGTGAGGATTGAGTGTTGCCAACCAAGCCACATGACCTAAGAACTTTTAAATTTTGCATCATGGTGAACTTGCGTGGCTTTTTGGGGGTTATCCTAGGTAATTTACACTATGATAATAGTCCCTATGTGTACCTGTGCCAAAATAAACTTAACATGTGGTCAGGCTCAAGACCATTGTAAAAAAGTGTTATTTACCATTATTGTGCTGTATGACCCTTGTGGGTTAAGCACTTGGTAATGATTATAATAATAATAAATTATCCTTGTTGTATGCTTAAAACATCTGTTACCTTGATATTTATTTCCCAAGAAGATACAAAGATAAGAGTTTTGAAGGAGTGAACTGGTAAGCTTGTGAAAGGCCTCAGTCAGATGACCAAAAGCTCATTGGTGGGCCATCTTATTAGGAGGCATTTGTCCTTTTTTTCTGACAGATTTCACCTAACCTAATCTAATTGAAGCTTAATATTGTTTGAAATTTAATATTATTGTGATTCAGCATTAAATTTTAATTTAAGATTAATATTAATTTAACCCTTTCTGTGTTCACTTTCTAAAAAAATTCTTCTGAAATGGTAGAGAATCCTTTTCTGGATGTAATGGCACTAAAAGTATGAAATTTCATGAAAATTTAAGGAATTAGCATTCTTGGCACAGTTTGTGCATTGGCAATTTTTACCAACTTCTTAGCCATTTCACTGTATACCTTCCATTCTGTCAATTGAGCACAAGAAATTGCCCATTCAACTATTTCAACTACCTTGAATTTAGTAATTTGGACAGTTTTACACAAAATTAAAAAAATACCAATTTAAAAATTGAGTAAAAAAAAAAAAAAAAAAAAAAACGTTCCTGGCACTAAAACAACAGTTCCTCACTTCCTTAATCATTTATATCCCTAGGCCTCTCCTATATTACATGTGCCTTCCATTTTGAATTTATAATCACAAAAATCAAAGAATTACTTTTATTATAATGATGTTTTGGTTCAATTTAGACCATTTAGAAAGTCACACTAATACAAAAGAGTGAGGGAGCCAGTATGTAGGTGAGGGGGACAGGGTTGGGACAGAGAGAGGAAGAAAAGAGTGTAGTGGTAGTGGTAATGCTGATAGTGGAAGTACAAAGTAGGGAGATAGGGAGAGTGGTTTTAGTGGAAAGAGATAGAAAGAGGATTAAAGGGTGGCAGTAGTAGTGGTAGTAGCAATAGTACATAGTAGTAATGGAGTGGTAGTCGTAGTAGTAGAGAAGTGGGATAAGTCTAACAAGAAAAAGGAACACTGCAGGAAAGCTTAAGGGCCCACAAGGGATAGGACCAAAAAAATGAGGAAGGGAGCAGATGGAACTCGGGGAGAGAACACACTTAGGCAGAAGAAAAGAAACCAAAGAAAGAAAAACGGAAAGAATAGATAGGGAAAGGAGGAGGAGGAGAAGAAAGGATCTGGTCAGGTCACTAGTGTTCTGAAGTTTGGAGCATTTGACAGTGTAATAAGAAAGGAAGGCATCTATTGAGACAAAACCAGGAATAAGATTCATACTAGGAAGGTTGTATATAAAGGATGCTTCAACGAGATGGTAACTGTGAAGGCTAGAAGTAGGGTAGACAATAGGATGACTGTGATCTCCAACATAACAGAAAAGAGCATTACTGGTGTCAGCAAGTCTAACACTTCAAGTCTGTCAGAGAGCAACTAGTTTCTCCAAACTATTGAAGAGAACAAGAGGAGCATGAAACAGAATAGATACTGGGGGTGTTTATAGCAGGAAGCGAGGTACGAACTAGATTACTGCGAAGGGTGTTAGCTTGGCAAAAAGTAAGTTTGATGTCTAAGGAACGGAGATTAGAAAAACTGGAAATATAGGGAAGGCAGAGAACAGGAGATTTCACAGTATTTTTTTTTTTCCCCTTTTTTGGTCCTACCCCTTGGAGTCCTTAGCTCTCCACCAGTGCACCATTTTCTTGTCCTTAGACTTACCCCACTTCTCTACTACCACTCCATTACTACTTCTGTTGCTACTACCACTACTATTGCCTCCCTTCATTTTTCACTCCCCTTTCTATCTCTTGTGCCACTAAAACTACTCCCCCTGCTCCACTACCAGCATTACTACAGTGTATTACTTTTTCTTCCTCTCTCTGTCCCATCCCTGTCTTCTAGCCTATATATACATGTATTTGTTCCCTCACTCTTTTGTGTTAGCATGACTTTGTAAATGGTCCAAATCAGACCAAAACGTCATCGTAAGCTTCTATGTGTGGGTTATTTGTGTAAGTTCTGTAGTAACACATTGTAGAAAGAATGCTAATGTTTTTAAGATCTTAATTATGTGCTGGATATGGTGAAAATGAATGGTATAAAATACCAACACAATGGAAACATAAACACACATGCAGTTTAATGTGATCCTTTATTGACAACGTTTCGCCCACACAGTGGGCTTTTTCAAGTCGCAAACAGATCTACCTGGGGTGGAAGGTACGTGAGTATTTATAGTCAGGTTCAGAATGTTTACCTGGAGTTTACCTGGAGAGAGTTCCGGGGGTCAACGCCCCCGCGGCCCAGTCTGTGACCAGGCCTCCTTAGATCAGTGTCCCAGGATGCGACCCACACCAGTCGACTAACACCCAGGTACCCATTTTACTGATGGGGAACATAGACAACAGGTTGAAAGAAACACGTCCAATGTTTCTACTCTGGCTGGGAATCGAACCCAGGCCCTCGCCGTGTGAAGCGAGAGCGTTAACCACCAGGTGGAGAACGCTGCATCTGATGATCTACCGGGTGAGGTTATGTAGTCTAAAATCTTGGGTAGCTTGGCAGGGGTATTGGACAAGTTGTGAGCAGACCTTCTGCAGTGTTCTATGTTCTTATGTGGGATAGCGATGAAGAAGTTTCTTGGCAAGTGGTTCAGCTATGTTATAGAAGCCATTGTTCTGTTTGAAATTGTTGGTTATAGAGATAAGTGATGATTCCAGGATTCTTCGGTATTGAGTGTTGTCTTCTGTGGCGATAAGTCTTGAGTTTCTGTAGTTAATTAAATGGTTGTGTAAATTGCAATGTTGTACACAGGCATTCCTTGTATCGTCAGTCCTGCTTGCGTATTGGTGTTCTGAAATACGTGTTTGGAGGTCTCTTGATGTTTCGCCCACGTATAATTTGTTGCAGTCATTACAAGGGATTATGTATACCCCTGCAGAGGATGGAAGCTTGTCCTGTCTACTACTGGTGATGTCCTTGAACTTCGTTTTAAAGTCTATTGAAAACCAACCAACCAAAACGATCTTCTCCACTTCTACTCTCACCACGACACCAAAACTAAATGTGGTGTAATTATAGGCTTCTTCCTGCGTGCACTTAGAATCTGCAGCAATGAGTTCCTTGAGGAAGAATGCACTATAATTGAACAAGTATTTTCTAAATTCCACTATCCTCGTCACTTCATCAGAGACTGCAGACGGCGGGCATTAAACATCTTCAACACACCCAGAGAAGACACTGCCGAGAAGAGATACATAGTCCTACCCACCAACTCCATTGCCTAACATTTTTTCCAACATCTTTTCCAATACATCATTCCAAGTATCTACCTCCACAACCACGACCATCAAGGACATCACCAGTAGTAGACAGGACAAGCTGGATATGGTGTTGAATTTTAATTTCTTGTCAAGGTGTATACTTAAGTTTTGTCTCATCTTGTGTTTTGATGTATGTATTGGATATTTGTTTATTGTATATTTTTAGCTTTGTTTCCAAGCACTTTATAGGTCTTATCAGTATTGAGTGAGTTTGTTGGTTATAGCTCAATTAGATATCCTTATAAATTCATCAGTAATAATGTTGCTGAAGACAACTAGATTTGTACAGTACTAGAGACGACAGAAAGTTGCCGTTTGAAAACCAGAATTGGTTCAGATTCCTGGGAGGCATTAGAAAGGTCATTGATGTAAATGAGAGACAGTAGAGGGCCCAGGGCACTGCCTTGAAGCAATTTTATGTTGATATATGGAGTCAATAAAGTAATGTCATTAATGGCTATATTGTGATGTCTTGTAATTTTAAAGTAGTATTAAATGATGCTATTATTTGTTGATTACAAAGACTAAATACAGGTGTTTGGATAAGATTGAAACACAGAGAACCTCAAGGAAAATAAGTCACACTGGTCTGAGATCAGGCCACAGGAGCAGTGGATCCTGGAACCATTAGCAGATACACATTACTGCTTTAATTACCATCCTATATTCCATTATTTCTACCTCACCTCTATTCATACCTTGCCCTAACTCCTCCCATCATTATTGCCCTACCCCCTCTGTCTTCCATCCCATCAGTGTGTGGGCAAAAGTTTAGTACAGTACATTTCAGTACAATAGATAAAACAATGACCTTGTATTGCATATCAGAATATTATATTATACAGTAGTAATTTTATTTCTGTAACATTTATGCATACTGTTTTTTTTATTCACCACCAGTTTCTGATTGGGCTTCACTTATCCCATTTGGTATTGCGTGTGTTGCTGTTGGGTTTGGTGTTAAAACGCTAATTGATAAGAAGGTGAGTTTGGAAGTTTTGAGGTTAGTTTAAAAATGTTTTTCATAAGCCATGTTGTACTAATTAATTTTGTATACAGTTCTTATACAAATAATTTTTTCTACCTGAATGTATTGCATTAGGCTTTCATTACTTTTATTATCTTAAGCAGTTTCCTTATAAGCAAGTGTATCCTTTCCAGGTGATTAGTGAAGAAAAGAAATGGATGCAGAGGAAGCTTTTACTGTGACACTTTCACTGAATTTAAAAAAAAAGCTTTATAAAGCTCTACATAATACAGGTCTTAATCATAGTGCCTTCAGATGTGCTTGGAGTGGTAAATTTTGGGATAGACATGAGAGAGTGAGTTTGTGCAGTGCAATTCCTGAAGGGAACAGCTAACTGTTGCTCTGTGTTTGGGCTAAAATAGTGAATTTAGCTTTTTTGTTTTTTAGGGTGATTTTCACTAGTATATCTTCCAGTCTATCACTTGATGTCAGGTGATAGACTAGAAGACATGCTAGTGTAACAGAAATGTTTTTGTTCAGTTTTAAACCAGACATGGCCTAAAATAGGCCTGTGGTGGTCATCTTAGATTTTTTATTTTTGTGCCTGCATAATTCTGTAAATTTTACATCAAATTTTGCATTTTTGGTGTCATTACCTTTAGAAAAAGTTTTTCTACCATTTTAGAATTTTTTTTTTGACACCATTTCGAGAGTCATGACAGTGAAAAAGTGTTAATGTCTTGACAACTTTAGTCTTGCTTCATATAGGAACAACTTGTTTCAAGTTCAGTATATACAGTAGGGCCCCACTTTGCAGTGTTTTGCCTTACAGTGTTCCGCTAATATGGACATTTCAAATCATGACCAAAACTCTCTATATGGCCCCCCCCTCCCACCTGACTTTCTAATATGGTCACTGTGCCCTATCCGGTTTCTTTACATTCTCTGTGAGTACCACATCTCTCCATTATGTCTGGAAACTTTCCAAAATTTCAAGTGTTTTAAAGTTACTATATGTATTTCATGTTTTATATATACGTGTACTCTGATGTGTAATTATACCTATGTGTACCTGTACCTAAATAAACTTGTACACTGTGCTGGCATGCAGGTACACATTAAAATCAGTAAGAGTGTCTTATTAGTCTTGAGGATGCCGTATTAATAATGATAATAATACGTTATCTATGGAGGCAAAGAAGGGAATGTATGAAAGTATAGTAGTACCAACACACTTATATGGGTGTGAAGCTTGGGTTGTGAATGCAGCAGCGAGGAGACGGTTGGAGGCAGTGGAGATGTCCTGTCTAAGGGCAATGTGTGGTGTAAATATTATGCAGAAAATTCGGAGTGTGGAAATTAGGAGAAAGTGTGGAGTTAATAAAAGTATTAGTGAGAGAGCTGAAGAGGGGTTGTTGAGGTGGTTTGGTCATTTAGAGAGAATGGATCAAAGTAGAATGACATGGAGAGCATTTAAATCGGTAGGAGAAGGAAGACTGGGTAGGGGTCGTCCTCGAAAAGGTTGGAAGGAAGGGGTAAGGGAGGTTTTATGGGCGAGGGACTTGGACTTCCAGCAGGCGTGCATGAGCGTGTTCGATAGGAGTGAATGGAGACGAATGGTATTTGGGACCTGACGATCTGTTGGAGTGTGAGCAGGGTAATATTTAGTGAAGGGATTCAGGGAAACCGGTTATTTTTATATAGCCGGACTTGAGTCCTGGAAATGGGAAGCACAATGCCTGCACCCTAAAGGAGGGGTTTCGGGATATTAGCAGTTTGGAGGGATATACAGTGGACCCCCGGTTAACGATATTTTTTCACTCCAGAAGTATGTTCAGGTGCCAGTACTGACCGAATTTGTTCCCATAAGAAATATTGTGAAGTAGATTAGTCCATTTCAGACCCCCAAACATACACGTACAAACGCACTTACATAAATACACTTACATAATTGGTCACATTCGGAGGTAATCGTTATGCGGGGGTCCACTGTATCGTGTATCTTTATACGTATATGCTTCTAAACTGTTGTGTTCTGAGCACCTCTGCAAAAAGTGATTGTGTGAGTGAGGTGAAAGTGTTGAATGATGATGAAAGTATTTTCTTTTTGGGGATTTTCTTTCTTTTTTGGGTCACCCTGCCTCGGTGGGAGATGGCCGACTTGTTGAAAAAAACAAAAAAAATACGCAGTAATCACTGATATTTTTTTTCAAACTTATATTCATAATAAACATCCTACATAATATATAAACATGATAAATACACCCCACAATAGAATAAATTAACCTAAATCTGAGATGTTAGGTGTAGATGAATGTGTATGAACCAAAACCAGACATGTTCGTCTGTATGTTTATGTTCTCCACGTCTCTCCTCTTTCATTTACTCATTCTCTCTCTCTCATTTATTCATTTTACCTCGTTTACTCACCTCTCGCCCTACATTAAGACTACAAATATTTTAAGATAAGTAAAAAGTGTACTGTGTGTGTATTTTACTTTTTATTATTTTTAATGCCTATTTCTATTGCTAGCTTAATACATGTTAGTGTAAACTTATCTGACGTTTATAAGTGGAAAAAAATGGCGTTCTGTTTTCCGGCGATGTCCGCTTTCCAGCGGTAGCCTGGAACCTAACCTGCCGTATAAGTGGGGCCCTACTGTACTGTACAGTATATGCAGTTTTGTCAATGAATTTAACTTATATTCTTTGATGAAATAATGCAAAGGTAATTCTACTTTTAAGTGTTATCAGCAATTGTTACTGTACTATTTTTTTAATAGAATTGATCATAAATTTGCTTAATTTATATAATTCATATTTTCTTTGTTACAGTTGGGTGGGCCAGTGAATCCTGCTATACGCAAGGAAGAATCAAAAGTTGTGGATTCTCTTGACATAGAAGATCTGGGTAATAAGGCAGTGTTTTGTCGGTGCTGGCGTAGTTCAAAGGTACGTACATGCAGAACAAACAAAACTACATTGTTTTTATTGCTTGTTTATTATTCAATTAATAGCTCTGTTCATATATTATTATAGTCATGGGAGCACTAAACCCTTAGGGATCATAAAGCACCAAGAGAATGTGCATTGATTGGATTCCATCTAAGGAAAAAGGTCTGTAGTTCAGTTCTTTGGATCAAGAGCCCTCCATCAGCATTAAGGCAATTCTTGAAGGGTAAGCTGTAAATATATTGTCATAAAAATTAGATGGTGTTGGTCACCAAAGGTATACAGTGGTATCTTGACTTAAGAGTGCCCCAACTTACGAGTTTTCCGAGTTATGAGCTATCGTTCGGTTGATTTTTTGCTTTGAGTTGCAAGCGGAAATCCGAGTTATCAGCAAGTTTCAGATACACCGCCACTAATTGGCGGTGTATCTAAAGTCAGATCCAACTTTGTACCCAGAAGAATGTCAGGTATTTCGTCCCATCCCACATGCTCTTCCAAGACATATGTGGAAGGATTATACTCCCACACTAATCCCATATTGTAGTGAGGCACCTTGTTCCTTGTTTGGTTCTTGTATAAATCCAGGGAAGAGGTAACCTCCATTTCAACACTAGAGATTTTTTCCAGAAGCAAAGTGGGTGGAGTAGTGAGGGTGGTGGGTGGAGTAGAGATGGTGGTGGGTGGAGTAGAGATGGTGGTGGGTGGAGTAGAGATGGTGGTGGGTGGTGGAGTAGAGATGGTGGTGGGTGGTGGAGTAGAGATGGTGGTGGGTGGTGGAGTAGAGATGGTGGTGGGTGGTGGAGTAGAGATGGTGGTGGGTGGTGGAGTAGAGATGGTGGTGGGTGGTGGAGTAGAGATGGTGGTGGGTGGTGGAGTAGAGATGGTGGTGGGTGGTGGAGTAGAGATGGTGGTGGGTGGTGGAGTAGAGATGGTGGTGGGTGGTGGAGTAGAGATGGTGGTGGGTGGTGGAGTAGAGATGGTGGTGGGTGGTGGAGTAGAGATGGTGGTGGGTGGTGGAGTAGAGATGGTGGTGGGTGGTGGAGTAGAGATGGTGGTGGGTGGTGGAGTAGAGATGGTGGTGGGTGGTGGAGTAGAGATGGTGGTGGGTGGAGTAGTGATAATGGTGGGTGGGGTAGTGATAATGGTGGGTGGAGTAGAGATGGTGGTGGGTGGAGTAGAGATAATGGTGGGTGGGGTAGTGATAATGGTGGGTGGAGTAGATATGGTGGTGGGTGGAGTAGTGAAGGTGGTAGGCGGAGGATACAATGCAGTGGAACCTCAGTTTTTGTATACCCTAGTCTGTATGTAAAACTATAATTATTCTCTATAAAATGTATTTTTTGTTAATATTTCCCATAATAAATAATGTAAATCCAATTAATCTGTTTGACACCCAAAAATATTAACAAAAGATACATTTTATAGAGAATAACTGTAGTTTTACATAGACTAGGGTATATGAAAACTGAGGCTCCACTGTATTTCTTACTTAAAAATACATTTTTCTTATTTAAAAACGCGTAACAAAAAAATTGGGGTGGTGTTTTGGGGGCTGGAATGGATTAATGGCATTTCAATGAGGAAAATTGATTTGATATACAAGAAAATAGAGTTACGAGCTCGGACACAGAATGAATTAAACTCGTAAGTCAAGGTACCACTGTAATTTAGATGGATGAGGTGAGATTGTTGAGGTGATATGGGCATTAGAGAAGATGGAACATAATAGGATGACAAAGAGGGTGTACAGATCTGGGGTAGAAGGAAGGAGGGTTAGGGGTCGTCCCAGGAATGATTGGAGAAAGGGGTAAAAAAATGGGTTTGACTGCTTGAGGCTTGACCATCCAGCAAGCTTGTGAGAGGATGTTAAATTGGAGAGAATGAAAATGAGTGATTTTCATGGCTAGATATGCTCTTGGAGTGTGAGGAAAATGACATTTATTAAGGGGATTCAGAGAAACTCTTTAGCCAAACTCGAGTCCTGGAGGTAGGGAAGTACAGTAAACCTATATAATGGACCTCTATATAGTGGACTTAGGAAATACAAAAAACAAAAAAAACAAACAAAAAAAAAAAAAAACCTGAGGGATCGAAAGATTTGGTAACATGAGAGTTTGTTATTTACAACTTGTCTGTTATTGTTACCATCACAGCAAAGTAATCTTTTCTCTATTACTACCCACTTGCTTTCCCTATTAGTCCATTGTATGGAGGGTTTACTCTGCAGTATCTTCACTCTGAGAGATGGGTGAATGTATATTGCATTTGAGAGGGCCATTTGAATTGTGATGTCTGTGCACTTCTTGCAAGATAGCTATTTAATGAAGGAATGAATATGTTGCCTCGTTTTTTTGGGTTGCACTTCTGTTGGAGATGACCAGTAAATGAACAAGAGTGTTAAGTTAAATCAAAACTTAGTTTTATTATGAATAGCTAATATAAAACATCTTGCCATTTGCTATTAAATACAGTATTAAGAGTAAATAATTAACTTTTGTTTTCTTCCTTATTTTAAGGAATAATGGGGTGAGGACACAATATACAGATTTTCTTGATTACGGTTTAGAAGTCCCTCCAAAGTACCAATACGTATCCCAAACCCCTCCTTTAAAGTGCAGGCATTGTACTTCCCATTTCCAGGACTCGAGTCTGGGTAACTGGTTTCCCTGAATCCCTTCACAAAATGTTATCCTGCTCACACTCCAACTGCTCATCAGGTCCCAGAAGTCATTTGTCTCCATTCACTCCTATCTAACACGCTCATGCATGTTTATTTGAAGTCCAAGCCCCTCGCCCACAAAACCTCCTTTATCCCCTCCCTCCAACCTTTTCGAGGACGACCCCTATCCCGCCTTCCTTCCCCTACAGATTTATATGCTCTCCAAGTCATTCTACTTTGATCCATTCTCTCTAAATGACCAAACCACCTCAACAACCCCTCTTCAGCCCTCTGACTCGTACTTTTAGTAACTCCACATCTTCTAATATCCACACTCCGAATTCTCTGCATAATATTTACACCAAACATTGCCCTTAGACAAGACATCTCCGCTGCCTCCTCACTGAGGCATTTGCAACCCAAGCTTCAAACCCATATGAGTGTGTTGGTACCACTATACTTTCGTACATTCCCTTCTTTGCGTCCATGGATAACATTTTTGTCTCCACAGATACTTCAGTGCACCATTCACCTTTTTTTACTTCATCAATTCTATGGTTAACCTCATCCTTCATAAACCCATCGGCTGACAAGTCAGCTCCCGAATATCTGAAAACGTTTACTTCTTCCATACTCCCTCTGGATATATCAATAGTATTTCTGGTGGGTTACTCATACTTTTTCGGAGGTGAATCTTAGCTTTATTGGGTAATAGTGTGCTGTACACTAAGCTTGCCAGGCCTTTGGCCTGATGAGAGAGTTGAGAGAGAGGTCTTGCTGCTGATAGGCCTGGCACAGTAGTGAGGGCTAAGTATGATCTTGTGGAGCGAGGTCTAGGTAGGACTAGGGCCATGATGGATGGCAGTACTGGGCTTAGTGGCATGAGCTTGAAATATAAAACCTGACAACAGTTACATGGATATATTTTTTTGAGCACCAGCCATTCCCCTCCCCCCCCCCCAAAAAAAAAAATGTTGTCACTCACTGTCTTACCAGAAGTGGGCTGACAGAGTTCAGATGGGGCTTCCAAACTGCAACATCCCCAACCCTTCAGGGTAGAGGCACTGTGCTTCCCACATCCAGGACTCAAATCCAGCTCATCCATTTCCCTAAACCCCCATTGTGAGTGCTATCATACTCGTTCTTGAATATCGCTTAAAGTCGTAACAACCATTTGCATCCACTCCTGTCTATTGCACTCACACAAGCTTGTTGGATATCGAAACTCCTAGCACTCAAGATCTCTTTTATCTCCTCTCTTCAGCCTTTCCTGGGATAACCCCTACCCCTCCTTTCCTCTACTTGCCCTCTGTATAATAAATACTGTTAGGAACTCTGTACTTTCAAATCTCCAAGCTCTGAATTTTCTCCATAACATTCCCACCACATATTGTCCTCAAGCATGATGTCATTGCCTTCAGCCCCTTCCTCACTGAAATGTTTAAAACCCATGCCTCGCACCCATACAAGTGTTGTACTACTATATTCTGGTACATTTCTTTTTTTTATTGCCATAGATAAAGCTCTGCTTATATGGATGCATCAGTGTACCACTGACCTCTTTTGCCCTCTTCAATTCTGTGTTTCACCTTGTATTTCATTGACCCATCTGGTGACTGATCCACTCCCAAATATCTGGCATGTGTTCCATAAATATTAAATAATAAATTCGTTAAATTCTACAAATAACTTGGGTCTGTTAACTTTCCATATGCTTGTAATGAGTTATTCTGAAAAGAGGATTAATAAAAAGATGAAGGTACATGCCTGTCCTTCTAGATTTTGCTTTAAAATTGATACAGATGTTGATTTTTGTCCACAAAGTGTGGTTATTACCAGCACTTTTCTATCGATGAGCATTTATGATGTCTTTTTTATTAGACACTTAATCTTGATATTTTTATGTTGCAATAGCTTGGTTTTTCTCGTACATGTTACTATAAGAATGCTGCATATCCATATATGGTTGGTCTGTCTCTGTGTCTGTCTCTGTGTCTGTCTCTGTGTCTGTCTCTGTGTCTGTCTCTGTGTCTGTCTCTGTGTCTGTCTCTGTGTCTGTCTCTGTGTCTGTCTCTGTGTCTGTCTCTGTGTCTGTCTCTGTGTCTGTCTCTGTGTCTGTCTCTGTGTCTGTCTCTGTGTCTGTCTCTGTGTCTGTCTCTGTGTCTGTCTCTGTGTCTGTCTCTGTGTCTGTCTCTGTGTCTGTCTCTGTGTCTGTCTCTGTGTCTGTCTCTGTGTCTGTCTCTGTGTCTGTCTCTGTGTCTGTCTCTGTGTCTGTCTCTGTGTCTGTCTCTGTCTCTGTCTCTGTCTCTGTCTCTGTGTCTGTGTCTGTGTCTGTGTCTGT